TAAAAGCAGTGTGTGTTTACATCGTGAACTTACATATCACATTCGTGTTGATTTTGTCACTTCATGAGGCGGGGACGAGGTGTTGTAACCAGGTAAGATTCTGTTTCAGTCCATCATTCCCATTCAGACAATTTGGATTCTACTTGACATGAAGTGCTGGCTTCTGATATTAGACGTTCTTTGTGATTTCTGAAGTTTTTCTGGGTTATTTCAATATTGTCAAAATCAATTTTTTGGCCTGATTCTATAGTGTGTAGATAGATCTATGGTTGATGATTTTTCAACCTTTTCTAGTTCAATTACGGTGTTCATTTCTTTTGATTTTGATTTCCCGAAATGTTTGTCCGATCTATATCGCATCACATTCTAGGCAAGAGTTTTATTTTATAGACACAATTAGATAGAGAATCTTTCGGGATTTGGTCTTTTATATGGACAAGGTTGCTTTGAAGTGTGTCTGATGTTTTGAAGAAGACTCTAATGTCGAGCTGATTGAGTACTCTTCTGATATCGTCTGACGTCTCTGCTCTATATGGAATTACGACTGTTGATGTCCATGTTTTCGGAATGCGTTTTCAGCCATACTGTGCGTCGGTGGCACAGTGGTTAGGACTCTCGCCGACCATGCACATGGTCCGGGGTTCGAGCCCACGCCGGCGCACACCTGATATCCGTGGTCGGCCTGCGAAATTTGGGCTACCGATATCCATGCTGAAAATTCCATACTTGTACCAAAAATACAGTGTGGAATCAAGCTGTAAATAAAAAATGAAATAAAAAATACTTAATGTCTGTGTTGATTTTGTTGATGAAGTTCCTTTGGTAGTTGTTTTGCTTGAAGAGAGTTTCAGTAATGTTTGATGTTTCTTCTTCTTTTTCTTGCTCATCCTTTATCAGAGAGTGTGCTAGTCTAAAAAGACTTGAAACAACTGAAATCTTTGCGCTGATGGAGTGTGATGATTTGAGGTCTAAATATTTATTGGAGTGGGTTTTCTTCCTGAATATGGATATTCTAAAATGTCCGTTTTCCTTTCTCTTAACTAGGCAGTCTAGAAATGACGGTTCACCGATGTCTGATTCTGCTTCCGAAGTGAACTGGATTTTGGGAGATGCACATTTTATTTTCCTCCAGGAATGAATTGTTTAGATCTCGTTTTATTTAGTACTACAAAAGTATCATCCACATATCTTGTAAAATATCTTGTTAAACACTTTAAACAAAGTGTACTTTTCATTAGATTACGTTCGACTAAAAGTTCATGGTCATAGATAACTGAATATAAAAAAATTTATAATGTGTATATGAAGTATACAAAGGTGTATGCATGTGTGTGTGTGTGTGTGTGTGTGTGTGTGTGGGTAAACAGTCATAAAGCATTTGTTAGCCTCTGCATAAGAAGATATAGACAAACGGGAATTTTGACTAAGTATGATTAATTAGTGATACATATCCATTTTTTATTTATTAATCAGCATTTGCCATGCATCAGCTAACACACATCACACCTTCACGTCTGTTCAAACTGTTGGAATTCACCCATATATATATGCAAAGCTTCTACAGTCAGTCTTTCTTTATACGGATCAAAACCTTTCTGTAGAACCTTAGTCCTATCAAACTCGATCTTGTGTCCCTTTTCTATTGAGTGCAGTGCAATCGCTAACCTGTTTTCTAGCTTCTTTCAATCTGCAGAGGTCTTTAGAACCACCTTTAGACATTTTTTATGCTCTTTCACTCTTATATTTACCTGTCTGGAGGTTTCTCGTACATATACAGCGTCACAGTCCCCACAATTGATCTGGTACACACAATTCTGTTGGTTTTCTTCTTCTATTTTGCCATCCTTAGCCTTCACCAGTGATGAGCGTAAAGTGTTAGTTGAAGGAAAATACACTTTTTATGTTATGATTTTTGAGGATTTGCTTTATTTCATCGGATGTTTCTTTGCAGTAAGGAATCACCGCTGTACTAACCCAATTCTTAGCCACAGATTTTGATCCATCCTTATCTTCACATTTTAAGCATATATTTTATATATAAATCTCTGTTATGTTAATTTCACATAATTTCCTTGATAAAGTTCGAACCAGTTCACAGAACGCGGGGAAGGGTGGAATTATATATTTCCCTAACCAACTTCACTTATAACAGTTTGAAAAAATTTGGGCATTGGGTTGTATATGATATTCATTATAATAAAGGCTTTTTGTATTTCCCAATGAATGAATGAATGAAAAACAAAATGATATTGTTGTTTTTACTGACGTTTCACTATTTAATGCTAATAGCTTTGAATACGGCATTAAGAAGACAAATTTCGCGAGATTATATCGTCATTTCGTAGTTTCTTTGCAACCGCTTTACAACTAACATGGTTAACAATAATAAAATAAAGTTCAAGACAATTACTCAGTTAAGTAAAAAACAAAAGTACATACTAATGACCAATCATATTTTACCAGTTTTGTTCCTATCCAGTATAAACGTTCCCTAGTGAAATGTTTGTTCTCAAGGGCCCGAAGAATATGCACGAGTGACACACTGATGGATGAGCTTCGACATGTGCATTCAGTTTTATTAGCTAATGGTTATCCGGAGAGCTTTATCACATGTCACAGCAAAGAAAAACCACATCTCGAAAAGACAGCTTCTGTACCAAAGAAAGCCATCTTTATTAATCTACCATTCAAGGGCGACCAGATTATGCAGTTGACAACTCAAAGACTTCGATCAGCCATCAAACGCACATTCTACGCCGCATCTCTTTTCCTCACTTGCCGAACATTTTCGATCCCTGTTCCTACGATTAAAGGACGAAATTCTGTGGACTCTACTTCAAACTGTATCTACAAGTTTATCTGCAGTTGCGTTGACACCTATATAAGTAGAACCAATAGAATGTTCCAATGTTGTCGAAAGTGACATGTTCCAAAATGGTTATTTAGACACAATTAATTTGAATAGAAATCCATCACCATCCACCGCAAAGCACTTATTCATGTCAGGTCACAAAATCAATATTATTAATGACTGTTTCACAATTATTTCACATAACTCCAATTCAAGGTTGGTTATTGAAGGTGATGGAAGCACTTTGGATTAATCACATACAGCCTAAACTGTGTGTACAAAAATCAATAGACTTCAATCTTCGCCTACCCTGGACTGCATGACCTATCTTAATATGATTGGTCATTAGTATGTACTTTTGTTTTTATTTAACTGAGTAATTTTCATGAACTTTATTTTATCATTGTTAACCATGTTAGTTGTAAAGCGGTTGTAAAGAAACTACGAAATGATATCATCTCGCGAAATTTGTCTTCTTAATACCTTGTTCATATTTAAATAGGTCATGTAGACCATGGTAGGCGAAGAGTGAAGTCTATTGTTTTTTTGTACACACAGTTTAGGCTGTATGTGATTAATCCAAAGTGCTCCGATCACTTTCAATAACCTTGAATTAGAGTTATGTGAAATAACTGTGAAAGAGTCATTAATAATATTGATTTTGTGACCTGACAATAATAAGTGTTTTGCAATGGATGATGCTGGATTTCTATACAGATTAATCGCATTGGGAATTTCTATATGATTTAGTAGCCATTTTGAAACATGATTTTTTCGACGACATGGGAACATTTTGTTGGTTCCACCTATATGGGTGTCACCGCAGCTGCAGATAAACTTGTAGATACAGTTTGAATTAGAGTCCACAGAATTTCGTCCTTTAATCGTAGGCACAGGGATCGAAAATGTTCGGCGACTGAGGGAAAGAGATGTGGCGTAGAATGCGCGTTTGATGGCTGACCGAAGTCTTTGAGCTGTCAACTGTATAATCTGGTCACCCTATAATAATAATAGCTTTCAGGATTTGATCATGAGCTGACATTAGTTAGAGAACCATTGGAAAACCTGGGAGTACTGGACAGCTGTTTCGTCTTAGTTTGGGACTCTTCAGCAGTACGCACCCACCGCCAGGGTTCGAACCCAGGACCTTCCGGTTACAAGGCGAGCTCGTATACCATTAAGCCACTGGGACCCTATCAAATGGTCCTTGAATTCTAACTTCTGCCAATTCACGACATAGCGCAACCGCTAGCCAATGTCTTCGGCGAGTATTTGTCCTCACACCCGACCGGCTGCACCCTACTGGTCACGAATTCCCACTGGAACCCAGGTAACTACCTACCTGAATAGGGCCAGTCGCCAGTGAGCATCTCATTGGTATTCAAGTGATGGACGAAACAGCTGTCCAGTACTCCCAGGTTTTCCAATGGTTCTCTAACTAATGTCAGCTCATGATGAAATCCTGAAACCAATCAAATCCCTACAAACCATCACTTGAATAATAGCTTTGTTCCAAAAACAGTACTAATGATACAGCAAGGAATTTTCAGCATTAATAAAGATAGCTTTCTTTGGTAGGGATGCTGTCTTTTCAAGATGTGGTCTATGCTTACTGTGACAAGTGATAAAGTTTTCTGGATAACCATTAGCTAATAAAACTGAATGTTTATGTCGAAACTCATCCATCACTGTGTCACTCGTGCATATTTTACTGGCCCTTGAGAACAAACATTTTACTAGAGAACGTTTATACTGGATAGGAACAAAACTAGTCCACTTCATGTCTGTTCACGAAAATTAGATCGCTAAATCGTTCCATCTTCTCTCCTAGTCATTGTAATATTCAAGAAACCAAGTTTGTTATTCGATTCTAGTTCGGAAGTAACTCGGATATTTGGATGAATATGATTAAATAGGGTAATAAAGTTTCCAATAGATTTACTATTATTACCAATAATGAGAGTATCATTTACATAACGTTTATACAGCATAAATTCTCCAAGCATAACTTGCATTTGTCTCTCACATTTCGATATGAAAATATCTGCTAACAGAAACGCAAGAGGACTCCCCCATCACAACACCATCGGTTTTTTTAAATGCCTTTTCTTGGAAGGTGAATCTAATATTTTCTGTACACATTAAGATGATGCCTCTGATGTAAGTTACAGAAATACGTAAGTTTATCTCATTGCTTGTGATGTAATCGCAAATGAAATCAACAGTTTCATCAAGAGGAACATTGGTGAATAAAGATTCTATGTCAATTGAAAACATAACCTTTTCCTGAATATTCAAAGTGTCTAGTATATCTGTCAGATCACATGAACTTTTTACAGAATGATTTGATAATCAGTCTCTAACAGGCGTAAGGACCTCTATAACCCATTTATCAAAGTATTATTAAACCGGAATTTACTAAATCCACTCACCATATATATGTAACAAAGAGTTAAGAGGTGAGAAAGTAGACTTAGGTCAAGTTAAAAGAAGGACATATTGAAAGTCAAAATAACAATGAAGATCACTAAACCAAATAACAGAGGTAATAGTACATCCACCCTGACTGGTATCAAAACAAAGTTTACTAACTTAATCATCGTTCCTCAGCATGGGGTCATTTTTTTGAGTTATCAAGTTGACCAGTTGGGAAAAATAACAAAACCACGTGTAGATTGATGGATTTGATAAGTGTATAAAATTATAAAACAGCGTGTGTTCATATATAATGATATCGCTTATCACATTCGTGTTGATTTTATCACTACATGCGGAGGGGAGGCGTTGTAACCAGGTCAAATTCTGTTTTACTGCAGCATTCCTATTAGGACAATTTGGATTCCACTTGATTTTTTTCCATATGTCTGCATCTCATTCGGTGCTCAATTATTTTGTGGCCTGATTCTATAGTGTGTAGACCTATGGCTGATGGTTTTTCAAGTTTTTCTAGTTCAATTGGATTTCTCGGTGACCGTAGAGATGCTCTACGATGTTCATTTCTTCTGATTTTGATTTCTCGAGATGTTTGTCCAATTTAGATTGCATCATATTCCAACCATTTTATTTTATAGACACAATTGGATAGAGAATCTTCAGCGATTTGGTTTTTTTCTGTATGAATATTTGTTGTCGTTACAATAAAGGCCAGTTATTCGGCGGCGGATACATTTTTCTTAAATAAAAAAATAACAGATTAGTAGTTATAGAGTGTCAAAATAAATAGTCGTATTTGTGTAACAAACATCGTGCTAGGCTGAAATCAATTACAAAATATTTGGGTGAAATGGGAGACAATGGTGGTGATTAGTCGTCATAATAGATTTATAGAGTGTGGGGTAGGAAATATTTGACAAGTCACTTCAAGGTTTTAAAAGGTGTAAGTTGAGTGGCTAAGACAAAGTACTATGTATTAGTTTTGAATAAAGCGAGAACAACATTGATTTGTGCAGAATAACATGGTACCATCATTTATTTCGTTGGCTTCTCGTCAGCTGCTTACAGCCTAAATAAATCTTCAGGTTTAAGTACAGAAACGTTTTAACGTACTTGCAAATTTTACATGTTGACAGAATGTTTCACAACTAGTAAACAGTGCTCAGAAAATTGCGCTTATATAGTTTTTACACAGGCAGTTCAAGTTAAAAAAATAATAAATAAATGTATGTATATAATGGTAAGGGATGTGCGTTGGATGCATAGTGACTAATAAGTTAGGTAACAATGTACTGAGTTGAACTCAAATCATAGAAACAAGAGACAAACAAAATTACAGATTATAAAAGGAGGGTGAGGTTAAAGACAAAATTACACAATCAGATGAGAGATGCAAAGTGACTAATAAGTTAGGTAACAATGTACTGAGTTGAACTCAAATCATAGAAACAAGAGACAAGCAAAATTACAGAATATAAAAGAGGGTGAGGTTAAAGACAAAGATTACGCAATCAGATGGGAGAAAAAAGACATCCAGGTACCAAGGCAAGGAAAGACTAATAACTGATTCTTTCTGAACACATAGATCTGGTTTCAAGCGTTTGATAGAAATTGCTTCGGCAAACTTGAGGAGAATGGAGCTCCTTTGTCTATTGATAATTTTGAAGGATTTCTCGATTTCCACCTCATGACCCGTGTCGAGGAGATGTCTGGTAATAGCGCTGCTATAAGAGTTTGTTCCCTTGAGACGTAGGCTTTTCGGCACATGTTCAGAGAGAGAGAATATATTAAGACTGCAGTGGGGGGGGGGGTTCATAATGATTTAAGCAATATGTCAAATGAAACAGGTCGATGTAGATGTTGAGAAAACAGATAATATCACTAATAATAAGTTTGGATAGTATAAATGGAAAATTCAATAGTATTGAGAAAATGTTTGCATGAAGGGCATGAATTATGACGAATAATAATAACAATTGTAATAATAAGCGAAGGGAAAATAATACAAAAAACCAACAGGGTTAAGCGGAAGAGGTACACTTGGTGAGAAGAAGAATCATCAGTCCAAGTTTGGCCACGGTAAGAACAGCGTCTGGACGTGTTCCTTTTTTGGATACAAAGTTCGATCTAGTCGATCTTATTGCTACAGCTTCAGCTAAACGTAGGAGATGTAAGCGAAGTGTACGCGATAACGACTTCGGAATTCAGTATATAAGCTTAAAAGCGGTGTTGGCGTTTGATGCGATATCCAGTATTGATCAGGTGTGACAACATCGAGCTTTTTATGCACTTAATTTCCCCTCGTGCTGAATCAAGCTGGTAAATGTTATCGGATCTGTAGACTAATCTGCCTAATCACCACCATTATCTCCCGTTTCACAATATTTTGTAATCGATTTCAACCTCTACATGGTGGATGGTGACTAGCAGTGGAATCCAGGACAACACGCACTTCGTCCTATTTGGGACTCGTCAGCTAGCTGGGTGTACCTGCATTCCCCAGTCATCGAGTGGTGATGTTCCCACCGAGGCTCGAACCCAGTGCCCATAGTTTCAAACGCCAAAGCGTGGTCTAGTGGATGACGCTTTGGAGTTTGAAACTATGGGCACTAGGTTCGACCCTCGGTGGGAACATCATCACTCACTGAGAAATGCAAGTACATCCAGTGACGAGTCCCGAATAGGATGAAATGAACATCCTGGATTCTACTGCTAGTCATCATCCACCAGTTAAATACTAATTAAATACTCGGACATCATCGAAGCATCAGTACTAGAAGTCTACATGTCAACCTGAGACCGAACACCTCGGTCCAATTAATCGACGGGAAAAATCAAAAATTCAGTTAAACTTTACATGTGTTGTTCTAAATATTAATTTTGGAACATTTAGTAATAATCGGGTCCCAGTGGCTGAACGGTATACGAGCTTTTCTCGTGACTGGAAGATCCTGTGTTCGAACCCTGACGGTGGGGGTGCCTACTGCCGATGAGTCCCATATTAATGGGATGTAGCAGCTGTTCAGTATTCCTTGGTTTTCAAGGGTACTCTAACTGATATCAGTCCGCGATCAACTTGTAAAATGTTTAATACAGCTATGTTTTACTTTTATTTTCATTCCTTTATGTTCCCAGTGGAATATAAGGCACCTTCAAGCTAGATTCTTGAAGTTTCGCTAGCAGTGACGTTTATTTTTACGGGATGGGGTTGCTGCTAGCCTCATACCCAACCTTCCCTCTTAACTAGTCGTGTTACTGGTTTAGCTAGGTAAAGGATTGCCTGGTCGGCCAGCAGGTCGCCCGGACTACCTGCGTGGTTGGCGAGCATTCTACCCGTCGTGACTCCTCGTGAAGGGGTTTACTTAGGGTGAAGAATTGTCACAAACAAATAAAGCTATTATTAGGCTATCACACATCATCGCTTATGAGTATACGTTTTTACTATTTCATGAATTAGGCATATGTGTGTTTTCATCGGGTTTTTTTTCTTTCATTTCAACAGTGTACGCGTAGAAGAGAATAAAACGCCTGCTGATGTTAAGATTAAACAATCAACTGACGATGCTTCACCAACTGTCCAACCTATAAAACCTGGAAAATATACATCACCTAGAAAACATCCATTCCGTTGGTCAAGTCGTTCAAGACCATCTCATAAGAAAATGGTATTAATGCATACACAATCAGCCAGTGGAGGTGATGCCAGTCATTATCTTACTGGCAAAGAAGACAATTCAACTTATCAGTCGTCAGGTTCCTTACAACAACAACAACAACAGCAACAGTCGACTCCTGTCAAATCTATTCTCAATACAAATAATGGGAATAATTATAATGTTATAACGCCTATATATAGCTCACCGATTATCAGTAGTACGGCATCAAGTGGACTGCATCAGCCGACACTGTCCAGTCGAATGGTTAATAATGCAGAGATTATACTTCACGATTCAAAAAGTGAATATGATGAGGCAGCGGAGTATACAAGTTTTTGGTCATTATCTGTTGGACAGCTGACAATATTACGTAAATTGGCTTTAATACAGTTGGCGAGTTTAGCTGAGAAACACTGTTCTATTAATCGTTCACCATTTAGTTGGTAAGTTGAATCTATTCAAACCTATATTATTATTATTATTATTATTAGGATTTAATTGGTGAACGGTGACTAACAGTAATGGAAACCAAGACAATGCGCATTTCGCCCTATTTGGGACTCGTCAGCCAGCTGGATGTACCTGCATTCCCCAGCCATTGACCGATGATGTTCCCACCACTGAGGCTCGAACCCAGCGCCCATAGTGTCAAACGCTAAAGCGTTATCCACTAAACCACTCGGGCCACGAGAACTGGTCACCTCTTGTGCAAGGGGTCATTATTAATTATTCAATTGAATTTAAGATTTTCCCGTCGATTGGCCGTACCAAAGTGCTCGGCGTCAGATTGACATTTCGGCTTCTGGTGCAGATGCTTCGACAATGTCTAGGCATGTAACTTGAAGTGAATTGGTGGTGGATGGTGACTAGCAGTGAAATGCAGGATGCGCGTTTCGTCCTATTTGAAACTCGTCATCTGGATTCCACTGATAGTCATCATCCAACACTTAACCTCTAATTATATTCCCAGACATCGTCGAAGCATCTGCACAAGAAGGCGAAATGTCGACCTGAGATCGAGCACTTCAGTCCAATCAATCGACGGGAAAATCTAAAATTCAACTAAATATATTATTATTATTAATATATGTGTAAAATTGGGGCACTGTGGTGGTAAGTAATTCCATAGTAGTTTGTTTATTAGATATATCACATACACACAGTGAAGAAACAGTATTATTATTTACTGGATGACACAATTTCGAAACTTGAGTTTTATAGTTTTCTTTGTCATCTCTCCTATTTGTCATCGTAGGGATAGTAGAGTTTTCCAGATATCTGGGTTAACAGGTGTTGAATCATTCCTATTACGCACGTGTTTGCAGTTGATTCGATAACCCAAAGGTGGAAGCAGTTCAATTCACTTATGATTTGGAAAGTCGGGAAGGGGAGCTTCCAATTGTTAGATTGTAGCGTAAAAAGGTAAGACGATGGGAAGTTAAGCACACACTGGTGTTTACAGGAAATCCACACACATTGAAACCGATATTTGGATTTCCAGTCATCCCATCCTATGTCAGTGAAAATAGGATTAGTGAAATGTTTAAGTGTATCTACTAATTCACCTGCTCTTGCGGAGCGAGGTATATAGGTCGTTCGATGCGAGTTTTATCTAAAAGAGTTCAAGAACACTATCCCGCCTTGCTACGGAAAGGTAACAATGTAGCAATAAGGAGCGCCATTATTGAGCATATACTTAACACTGGTCATTCGATTTGCAAGGAGAAGTCATTCAAAGTCATCTATAAAGTCAAAAGAAGCCTTCCAAAATCGACAAGCTTCCGTATACTTTGTATTGCCGAAGCCTTAGCGATTTGGATAGAAAAGCCTGAATTATGCACACAAAAGAAACTTCTCCACCCCCTCCTACTACCGTGGGTTTAATTTCAAGTTCATCTGTCATCAACATTTTGTTATCAAATTTTTTTTTGCAATATTCGTATAATAATTTTTAGTAACTAACCCATTCAACCCATCACCTATTATCTAGTTTATTTTCATAATTGTCTCCATACTCCTTCACGAACATCTAATCTTTCTAAACATGTCTATATTACGTGACCCTACTCACATCTTACCAATTTTCACCCCACTTAGTTACAACTTTGATTACTATTCACACAATTTAATTTCTTTATTATTTTGATGATGTAATCAACAACCCACACTAACTGTTATTTTGACTTTGATTTTGACAAACCTTATGTACACACACACACACATACACAATTAATTGTATATACTTGCGACTGTACAGCTAAGAGAATGAATTCGCCGAAAAGAGACTCTTCGCTGAACTAATTCGTTCTTATTTCAATGTCTTAATGGGTATTTTTCGCGAAATGTTCAAGTGACAAAGCACAAAAACTAAGTAGTACCAAGGAAAATCTATGACACGAAGTGATGCATATAACAAAAGCCTTGAAACTTAATAATTACCTTGATGAATTATTCAGAATGTATGTAGGGAAATGCAAAAGTAAAAATAAAATAAATAATGACAGTAGCGATAGTGATAGTAATAATAATAATATTAATGACGACATGGATGTCAAACATGCACAAGATAATGACAACACCACCAATAAGGAATATAAATCCCCATCAGTAGTACTTCCATGTAAACAAAGAACCTCGGAAACCAACTTACGAAGAATTCTTAACAATTCAGGCAGGAATAAAAGTGACTGCTATTCAAACCCATAAACTCAATTAAAAATAAGCTTTGTCGGTTAAAAGATCCCGTGAAGCCTTTAAAACAAAACAATTTATATACAATTGGTGGATGGTGGCTAGCAGTAGAATCCAGGATGCGCATTTCGTCCTAATTGGGACTCGTCAGCTGGATGTACCTGCATTTCTCAGTGAGTGATGATGTTCCCACCGAGGCTCGAACCCAGTGACCATAGTTTCAAACGCCAAAGCGTTATCCACTAGACCACTTGGGCCACGAGAGCCACCTCTTGTGCAACGGGTCATATATTAATTATTGAATGCCTCGGTGGGAACATCATCACTCACTGAGAAATGCAGGTACATCCAGCTGACGAGTCCCAATTAGGACGAAATGCGCATCCTGGATTCCACTGCTAGCCACCATCCACCAATTGTATACAAATCAAATCCCCAGACATCGTCGAAGCATCTGCACAAGAAGCCGACATGTCAACCTGAGACCGAGCACTTCGGTCCAATCAATCGACGGGAAAATCAAGAATTCAATTCAATAACAAAACAATTTAGTTTATCTATTACCCCCTGCTGGAATCATTGTCACGTCAAATACATAGATCAAAGTAGTAGAACGGTGTCATTCAGTGAGACTAGCGGAGTATAAAAACCTAGTAGCAAAATCTAGATTAGTTGACCATAATAGGATAAGAAATCCGGAGAATAGTTCAGCTGTAGCACTACATGCAGTTACACACAACCACACAATAGGATGGGATGGCCATACGCTGAGGAAACCATCAAGTGACATCACTAGACAAGCCATTGCTCGAGTGGAACCCGAAAGCGAGGCGGCGAGTTGGTCGTCAGTGCAAGGGTGACTTGGAGGAGGTCATGCGAGGAGGAGATGAAAGCATCTGGACAGACCTGGAGCAGGGTGAAAAAGTTGTCAGAAAACCGAAGGCAATGGAGGTGCGCAGCTGAAGCCCTATGTTCCTCTAGGAACTAAAGGATACAATAATAATAATAAGAAGAAGATGACAGTTTTAGAATCCAATGTCACAGGTTGGAGAGAGAGAGATTGATAAAGAAAGCTTTATGTTTATTGAATCAACTGTAAACACGTGTAATAGAAATGATTCAACACCTGTCCCAGATATCTGGAAAATTCTACTACCCCTACAAGAGCAAAAAGGAGAGAACAAAGGAAACTATAAAACTCAATTTTCAAAGTCGTGTGATTAAAGTTGATAAAATGATTATGAACGATAATAAGTTGTGTTCGAAACTGTGTCATCCAGTAAATAATAATACTGTTTCTTCATTGTGTGTGTGTGTGTGTGATATATCTAGTAAACAAAGTAATATGGTGTATATTATTATTATTATTATTACTATTATTACTATCCCCTTGGGTACTGAGTAGAACATGGGGCTTCATAAGTACATCTCTATTTTGTCCTGTTCTATGCTGTCCTCTGTAACTGCCCTCATGATTGACCATGATTTCTTACCTCCACACACAATTTTCCCTCATGTCACCTCGGACACTTCAACCGTCATTTACCATTGAGGTTCCACTCGAGGACTGGCTTGAGGCGCTATATTACCCAACAGTCTCCTCAGGGTTTATCTCCAGTCCATCTCCATTTCCTTAAGCATATTTGTTGGGTAATAAATTCAGGGTCGTTTCGTTTCCTTTTAGAGTTCTATTTTGTTTTTGTTTTGTTTTTTCACCTGCTATCGGCGAAGACAGCTGTTGATAAAATTCAGATGCCTGTTTGAAATGTTTTTGGTGACACACCAATTGTCTAGCTCTCATACAAAAGAAGTGAATGACTTACCACTGGTGTTGAAAGTTCTAATCTTTTTCCTTGTGCTTAGTGCAGTAGATTCCCAAACTGATTTCAGATTTCAGGATTTCATCATGAGCTGACATTAGTTAGAGAACCATTGGAAAACCTGGGAGTACTGGACAGCTGTTTCGTCCTAGTTTGGGACTCTTCAGCAGTACGCACCCACCGGGATTCGAACCCAGGACCTTCTGGTTACAAGGCGAGCTCGTATACCATTAAGCCACTGGGACCCGATCCAATGGTCCTTGAATTCTAACTTCTGCCAATTCACGACATAGCGCGACCGCTAGCCAATGTCTTCGGCGAGTATTTGTCCTCACACCCGAACAGCTGCACCCTACTGGTTGGAGGATTTCGTCATCAGCTGACATCAGCAGTTACAGAACCATTGGAAAAAACCAGTGGGGGAGTACTGGACAGCCAGTTGTTTCGTCCCACCAGTTTGTGACTCTTCGACAGTAGGCACCCACCACCAGTGTTCCAACCCCAGGACCTTCTGGTTACAAGGACAGCTGGCTCGAAGACCATAAAGCTACTGGCTAGCCCATGAATTCCAACTTCTGCCAATTCGTGATTTCACATTAATGAATATCTGCTCTGTCTGATGATATTAGGTAGTTGGAGGCAATCGGCCACAGGAAGCCTTGGTTGACCTGGGTTTCGTGCTAGTTGGCACTCACCAGTCGTCAGCAAGGCGTATTTTCAACCACCATGAAGGAACTCATGTCCCTTCTGCGATTCGAACCCGCGTCACCCAGTGACTGCTCCAGTCAGAGACGTTACCACTGAGCTATTCGGGTTCGCGACTGACCTCCTGTAGGACTGTAGTGGGTATTTTGGTTGGACACTAGTAACTAGTGAGACAAGTCTAGTCCTTTCTTTGATTCGGACTGGATTCTATCAGTCAGGTTTGCAATATGACCACCATTCTAAGTAGCTCGACTAGGTAGCTAAGGTTGCAGATACGTCTCGCTGATGAGTGCCGACTAGCACGAAACCCAGGTCAACTAATGCTTCCTTCCGATTGCCTCCAACTATCTAATATCATGAAATCAATGTGCACCGTAATGGCAAGCTACCTAGAATGGTGGTCACATTTCAAACCTGACTGATAGAGTTCAGTCTGCACCAAAGAAAGGACTAGACACGTCACACTAGTTACTAGTGTCCAGTCATAATATCTGCTCTGTTCTGCCGATCCTGGCTGTATTTGACATTCTCATCTCTTCTGTCGCTTGCAGTTGAAATGATACTGTCAACTAGACAAGTGGTGGAAGTTACTTCCTGCAAATGTATTCGGTGCTTGTCGTGGTTGATTTGTTATCTCCGCCACCTTAGTCTTTTCTATGTTCACTTAATTTCCTGCCGTTTAGTACCTCCCTCCTCTCCCGACTTGTTGGTTTTTGCTTGAAAGTCATTAAATTCACGTGACATCATCCATAAAGTCCATATCTTCCAGAGCCTTCTTATCGGTTCAACATATTCCTGCCTTCCCACTCCCCAAGGCTGGCGACATGATGCAGTTCAACCACAACTGAGAAAATCATTGATGGTCAGAGCCAGCACTGTTTTACCCCTGCCTTCACTTCAAATAAGGTTGATAAAAATTTGAGGCGTTCCATAATGTTGAGCCACTTTTCAAATCACTTCGCTATCAAGTCTGTCGAAAGCCTTTTTTCAATTCGATGAATTTAAGATAGAGATTTGACTGCGGTTCTATTCACTGTTTGATTTCATACGTGCAGATGTGTAGAGTTGCAATTTGATTCACATATGATTTGCCTTTTCTGAATCCAGTTTATTCTGCTCGGAGTTCTGCTTGTAATGCATCTTTTAGAATCTTCAGGATGATGCGATATATAATAATATTTGACTTGGCATGGAAAAAAGCATGAGTCGGTGCCAATTATTCCTGAGGTCTAAGACGCATTTCTTTGGTAGTTTGACAAGGTAGTCTATCTTCCAATCATTAGGTACCTTCTCTTCTTTCCAAACTTTTCACGGTAGTGGTGTCAACATGTATATATATATACTCTACAGTGTGTAAACAACTCCTTTTAATGGCATTAAGTGGATGTCATATTTTTCTGTACCATGAAGCATCTAACGATTGAACTGATTTTCCGAGGTGCGGTTGCCATCCTCAAACTTAATCTTCCAGCTTTTTCTTCTCCTTTGTTGGGGCTTAGAAGCAGCTAGTTAACTAGGGAACCAGGTGACAGATCAAGCAAGGACCTTTTGCCCAATGCATATGTAAAGGGGAATGAAGGTGAACTGGGCGCATACGCTGACCGAGACCGTTGAGTGCAATCGCATTCCATGCCTGTCTTCGAATGGAACTGGAATAGGAAGCGATGAGTAGTTGGGAACAGCTTAGAGGGATCTGAAGGAGATCATGTGATGGTGAGGAAATAAAAGTTATCAGGGGATCGTTGAGCCAGCTAAAAAAGACTACAGAGAATAAAGTTCAATGGGGATGCCCTGTCTAAAGCCTTATGTCCCAATCGTAATTCAAGGGAATGATGGTTATAATAATGCTAATAAGTATATGTCATTTATTTAAAATCGAATTTTCTATTCTATTGGAGAAATCAAATTCAGATCTTGTGAACCTGCTAACCAAAAGCATTTCTAACAGGCTACCGCATACATCCATCAACCGGTTCACCCTTCGTTGGGTCTATACTGAAGATCACATCGTCGGTAAGGAAGGATGGGCAGTAGGGGACTTTAGAAGGCTGTGAACCAGTCAGTAACTTATTCAACAAATACGTTGCGGTAAACAGAGATGGACTAGATGTGAACTGAGAAGACCTTCAGTTAGCGTCATGCCAGCCACTCCGGTCTTCTCCTAGAACCCGAATGAGAAACAGTCAGCTGCGCATCCAAGGATGATATGATGGGAATCGTGTTAGAAAGAAGTGAAAGCATATGGACGAACATGAAGCCATCTAAAATCAATTACAGATAACAGTTCCACTCAGAGCGTATTACCACACATTCCTTAGGTGCATGTCTACATTCCACTCTGCTCACCGACATCCCATTATCACTGCTTCTGCGGACACCCAAACCTCTGCACAACATTTCTTCTGTGTCACTCTCGGATATCAAACTTATCTCTTCTCCTCTTGCCTTCATTCTGTATCCTGGTGTGTGATTTCACTTTGTTTAACTCCTCAGACTGCTCAAGTTATTATTTTTAAATCAGTCTTTATATTCCCGTTGATTGAGTGGACCTAAATGTTAGGTGTCTTGGGGCCATAGTGGTCTAGTCAATAGAGCCTTTGCGTTTGAACGATAGGTGGTGGACTTAAGGCTGATTGAGACAGCCATCACCCACTGGGGAGTGCAGGTACATCCAGATGACGAGTCCCGATTGGGGCGAAGTGCGCATCCCCTGGATTCCACCATTAGTCACAATCCACCTCCCTCGGGCATACTTTTTGTGTGGCCAATAGGTTCTTGGCTTCAGTAGGAGGTCTATAAGCTTCCGTTTTTCTCTCTTTGTTCAAAGATAATATTAAACTGGTAACAGCACTTTCCAACTGTTTGAAAGGTAAAATACTCTTTTACTTTAACACAAAATATTTAACTACTTATTTCAGAATTAAGTAGTTAACCAACACTAACCATCACTTTAATTTCTACGTATTTCAGGCGATTTATTAAATATCGTGCTCTACTGTCAAGCGGTGATTCAAATCTCTTAGCAAATTCATTAATCACTTCACCGTTATCAGATAAAAAACCATTTTCCAATTCAAATGATGAAACTTGTGCTGCACGATTGAATTCCATTGAGCCAAATAGTATTATTTCTCAACAAAATGAACGTATTATCACACAGTTACCAACTCATCACAATGTATCCTACAGTGGTCCTGTATTCGGCCAATCATTGTCTAGTTGGCAACGTAGACTTGGTTATCCACTCCCACCAGCTGTTGTACATATGATGGATCATTTAGAAATGAATGGAACTACAGCGCATGGAATATTTCGACGTCCTGGAGGTAAATTAAGAATGCTGGCGTTAAGAGAAGAAATTGAACGGGATATAAGTGAGTTTTGTTGCATAGATTACGTGCTTTTTATTCCTTTTGCGTCCCTATGGGAACACAGAGCATCGACGTGTAAGCTTTAGAGTTTTAGTAACGGTGGTGTTGTCTTTCGTTTTGCCTATTGTACTGGGTAGAGTTGGGAAGCATCGTTTCAACTACAGGCGGACAGAACTGATGAGGATATCAAAGCACCGAGGCTCGAAAAAGCGAGGAAAGCTTTCTTACTCTCACTAAGTCTTTGTAAAGATCAGCAGCACTCAGCATCAAAAATAAGATCCGTATTTTCAACTCAAATTTGAAGTCAGTGCTATGATACGGATCAGAGACTTGGCACGTCATGAAGGGCACTTCGAACAAACTAGAAACCTTCATCAACAGCTGTCTTCGCTCAATACTACTACGCAAGGTCAGATTACCGGCCAGAAAAGATCAGCAACAGGGATCTCTGGCAATGAACGAACCAACCCAGCAGGTACCGATTGTGCAACAAATATTCAGGAAGAAATGGAGTAAGGTGGATTGGTTGACCATACTCTGAGAAAACAAACCATCAAGTGAGTAACATCACACGCCAGGCCATCGCTCGAGTGGAACCCGAATGGGAAGCGACGAGTTGGTCGTCATTGGGAGGGTGACATGGAGGAGAAGGAGGAGGTGATGCAAAGAGGAGATGAAAGTATGTAGGCAGACGTGGACCCAGGTGAAAACTTTGGCAGAGAACTGATTACAATGGAGATGTGTGGCTGAAGCCCTATGTTCCTCTAGGAATTAAAGGAAACAATAATAATACTGGGTAGGATCCCTAGTCTCACGCCAAACCTTCCCTGTTTTCCAGGCTTACTACCGGTTGGTCGAGGTTTAAAAGTTCATTGGTTGAAAATCGAACTGAGACATAGGGGAACATGAAGACTTTATAGATCTCATGGATTACAAGGAGTGAATACATCTGTATCACTGACAGTAATTTTTAGCCCTATTACCAGTAGTCTTCATCTATTGACTCTCAGCATTCTGAGGACCCCAACCAGTCAACCAGGCAGTCTACAATTTCCTGCTTAAGTTGGCAAGGCAGCTACTTTCTTCAGGCTTTCCACCTTTAGCGACCATATCCTACAATCATAAAGAAGGACAGAGCGGACTCCTTAGTAATTACAGACGTCTTTTTACCAACAGTCGGATATCACGCTTAGTCCTAGAGATATAACGTAAGTTTGCAAAATCTACACAGGTCTTTTGTATTCGTACTGAGATTGCTTTTTTCCAAAGTGACTGCGATGATCAAAGCTCAAGAATTTTAGGCTTTCTACTTCTTGTAATTACTGATTTTCACTTGACTCATTTTCAATTCAAGCTGAGTTCTACTCAATCTCATCAATTACATTACGTCACTCAGTTTAATTCTGTTTGTCTGTCTGGTTTCAACATAGAACTTTGTACCGGTGTGCAGCAGTTCGAGTCGCTACACTCCCTCCATGTAGCGTACAAAACAATAGAAGAAAGTAAAAAGAAATGCAAAATAGAGACAATGAACAGAGATATGAGGCAAAAGGAATAATATTATCGAAGAGCAATATAGTTTTATAGGGTATTATAAGCCACAAGGAGTGGATGCATCTGCGCTAACCACTGAGAACAACAACTTTTAAGGCAGCTGTATCACCAGTCGTCTCCAGAATTCATTGATTCTTACCATCCCGAGAACCCAAAATAAGAAGTCTACACCTTCCTACACAGCTGGATGGTCTAAACTTACTGTTGTGGATTTCATTGACTGATGAAGCCATGTTTCAGTTTGACCACCATCATCCAAACTCTTTTCCAACCTGATCCATCCTCTGTCGGCTAACATTGTCCGTCGAGGATAGTGATCGATGGCTAGGGATGCATGAGTAACAAATGTCTTGACCATCTCAGTCGATGTAATTTCACAGTCTCGTCGATTGATTTCCCATCCTTACCTAGTACTCAACCGACGCCTAACCTCAATATTGCTTACCCTATTATACCATTTCACGCGGGAGATAGAACGCAAACACCTATGCACAAAGACAACTAGCCAGGCTTTTCATGTCTTCCAATCTCCATAGTCAGTTTTCACAGTCGTTACGGAGGACGGAGTGACTCAATTTACTTATTTAACTTTATTTTAATTTCCACCTTATTAACTCTTTCGCATTGCGCACAGTTGTTATCTAAAATCCACAGTTCTAAGGAGACATCTTTAGAAACACTCCTTTTGTTGGATAAGACAAAAGTCACTGCTTTGGAATAATTTTCCAGATGTGCGCCTTTACTTCCTGGACTCAACTGGAATATCTCGTATTCTATTTATGAAACATTCAAGTTACAACACTCCCGTTATGATTGGACAATAAGTAGCAAGTGACTAGTGTCACGCCTCTTATTCTTTGTTTGGTGCAGACTGAATTCTTCCACAATCAAGCTTGCATGGTCTGATCACCATGCTAGGTCATCATTATTGTGAACCTTGAACTGTTCAATGATTACATCTCTGACAACAGCACTGACTGGCACTGGCAGTTTCGAATCCCAGAAGGGTAGCTGAATTCCTTTAAAGATAGTAGATACACCTAGCTGACTACTGGTGAGTGCATAAAACCCAAGGACCAAGGCTCCTAACCAATTGCCTTCCAACCTATCTTATAACACACTTAGTTTGCTTTTAATCTTTGTTAGTTTTGTCTTTTATTAACCACATTTTATTATACTTATTTTTTTAAATTATTTTGACAATAGATTGGAAGAAATTTGATGACTGGCAACCATATGATATAGCTGACCTGTTGAAGCAGTTCTTTCGTGAACTCCCTGAATGTCTATTTACAAGTAAACTGGCAACTGTACTTGTCAACGTCTACGTATGTAAGTTTTGTTCAGTCAGAATAATGTGAACTTTCTTCTTCTTTGTCTTCTATTACACTCAAGTATTCCGCCTGCTTCAAATTCACAGTTTTGCCAATTAACTTTCATTTTATATAGTTCAATAGGGAGGTGGAATTTCATGTTGGTTTCTCCTGGAAGCCGAAATTATTCAGTTCACCGTACAACATATAAGATCTTTTTGATACCAAACTGGTTTGTTTTTTTTATTCCGTTACGCTCCCAGTGGAACATAGGACACCTTCAAGTTGGAGGCTTGAAGTTTCTGTAGCAGTGGTGATTATGTTTACAGGATGGGGTTGCTAGTCAGCCTCATGCTCAACCTTCCAACCTCTCTACCAATCTTATTACGGGCTTAGGGAGAAGGAGAGGTAAAGGAGTGCATCGTCGGCCGGGGATTGAACCCTGGACCACCTACATGGTCGGAAAGCATCCTACCACTGTGCCACCGACGCACTACCAAACTATAGCAATGAAGAAACCAAGCTCCCTAATGGGTTTCCAATGGTTCTCTAACTAATGACAGCTCATGATGAAATCCTGTAATCAATCAGTCAAATCCCTACAAACCAACACTTGAATATCAATGAGATGCTCTATTCAAGTAGGTAGCTACCTGGTGTTCCAGTGGGAAGTCGTGACCAGTAGGGTGCAGCAGATCGGCTGTGAGGACAAATACTCGCCGAAGACATTGGCTAGGGATCACGCTATGTCGTAAACTGGCAGAAGTTGGAATTCATGGGCCACTCGATCGGATCCCAGTGGCTTAATGGTCTACGAGCCGACTAGCCTTATAACCAGAAGGTCCTTTGTTGGAACCCTGGTGGTGGATGCGTACTGGTGAAGAGTCCCAAACTAGGATGAAACAGCTGTTCAGTACTCCCAGGTTTTCTAAATGATGTCAGCTCATGATTAAATCCTGTAACCAATCAAATCCCTACAAACCAACACTTGCATATATGAGTGTGTCAGTGGTTCAGTGGTAGGGTCCTCTCCAACCACGCAATTGGCCTGGGTTTTGACCGCCGGCTTACGCACTCTTAAAACCTCGCTTAATCGGAAGTAAGTTCGGTAAACCGGGGGAAATCTGGTGGCGAGGGGGCGGGTCTAGCAACCTCAATCCGCAAAAATAAAAAATAAATCACCGCTATTGACTCTTACCGGTGGTCTGCTTAAATCATTAGGCTACCAACCGTCAAAATGCTGCTTAAATTCTTCTCTACTTCTTAGTGTTTTAATCGTTCAGTTATATCAGGTGACCAGTACATGGACTAGCGCGCATATTTAATTAGTTTCCTAGTGTGTGCCATGCATTTTTCGAAGGAATTCAAGATACATTGTACAGAACTGCGAACACACCAATGACCTTGGAACGCTCGCTGAGCCAGTTCATGGAACCTGACAAATAATGTTGTCATCATCAATAAAATATGTCCATCGAAGTGTTATGTTATTAAATGGGATATCTGGGAAGTTTCAGCTTAGGTTTGGGAAAGATTAAGTTACGGTTTGGGTCAAGGACAAGTTAGGGTTAGGTTAACCTAATGAAGGAGACGCTAGGGTTGAATCAAGTTTGATTACAGTTAGTTTGGAGATATTTTCATGTTAGGGTTAAGTTCAGGAAAGATTAGGGTTATTGTTAGGATTAGAAGACCTAAGCAATTACATGCATAGAATGTCGTTAAATTATTCTGTTGATATAAGAATAGAACTTGTGCACTGTGGCGGTACAGTATAATTCCATTGTGGGTTAAAATTTATTCTGATAAAGTCTCACAGTGTTGTTATACAGTAATATTTACTGACGACCATGTTTCGAGCACAGTTTATTGCTCAGTGAATATTACTGCATAACACTGTGAGACTTTATGAAAATAAATTTTACCCACAGTGGGAATATACTCCATTGATACTCCAAACTAAAACTGAGAGCTATTTTTATCACATGTGAGAGAAAGGTATCCTCTGTAACACTTTTTTTTTAGTTTTTATACGTTTTTTTTCATAAATATCTGTATTCCATACACAAAAATGCCTCCTTCACGTGACTGGCACCACGTGCGTTCGAGGTCATTCGCTGATTGGCAGTTGGTGGTGCTGTCTATCTGTTTGTTTTCAACGCAGAACTTTGCATCGATGTGCAGTAGTTCAAGTCACCAAACTCCCTCCATGTAGCAAACAAAGCAAGAGAAGAAAGTAGAAGAACTGCATAATAGAGACATTAGACAGGGATATGAGACAAAAAGAATAGTAATAACGAAGGGAAACATAGTTTCATTGGAAATTATAAGTCACAAGGAGTGGATGCATCTGCACCAGCCACCTCTAAGAACAACGATTTTGAGCCAGCCATATCACCAATTGTCTCCAGCCGTCATCGGTTTTTACCGTCCCGAAGACCCCAACCAGTCAAGAGGTCTACACCTTCTTAGGTGACTGGCTGGCTTAAACTAACTGTTGTGGATTTCATTGACTGATGAATCCATGTTTTGGTTTGACCGCTGCTAGCTCTATTCCAGCCTGACTCTATGTCAGCTGACATCACCCGTCGAGGAAGGCGACGGCTAGGCACACTTGCGTGACACATGTCCCAACTATCGCTAATTATGTAACTTCACAACCTCCTCCGTCCTTACCTAGCCCTCGACCGAGGAGTAACCTCAATATTGCTCACCTTATTATGCCAGCACTTAACAGGATGTAGATAGAACGCAGATACCTATGATCAAAGACAAATAGCCAGGCTTTTCATGTCTGGTAGTTAGTGGTGCTTGAAGTTTAACTTTGCCAATTTACATTACTGCTTGTCATGTGAATTCTGTATGAAGAGGAAATACTTGAAACTAAATACGCTGAAATTTTCTATAATGTGTTTACATATTGTCTGAAATAAAGCTTTACTATTATTACATTATTATATATTACTGATTGACTGAAATAAGAGTAGTGTTTCCAGTTCGCCGAAGCAGCTAACGAGAAATAGAGCAGTTCCCGATGATTCAAGTCTGTTACAGGATTTCATCATGAGCTGACATCGGTTAGAGAACCACTGGAAAACATGGGAGTACTGGGCAACTGTTTCGTCCTAGTTTGGGACTCTTCATTAGTACGCACCCAAGTATTGTTTTGCAAGGATTTGATTGGTTACAGGATTTCATTATATACTGACATCGGTTAGAGAACCACCGAGAGATTAGGGAGCATGAACTCTGGTTGATGAGTACTACTGAAGAGTGCTGAACTGGGACGATGGAAACAGCTGTCCAGTACTCCCGGGTTTTCCAGTGGTTCTCTTACTGATGTCAGCTCAAGATCAAATCAGTCGAATCACTACAATCAAACACTTGATTCACGTCTGTGAGCCGAGTCTTCCAACCGGGTACACCGATGATTAGCTTGGCCCCTAAACGACTGAAACGACCGTCCAATATTTAGATCTATCTGGCTGTCTGGCTCGCTAGCAAGCACTGCTGACTGATGTGTAGTATAGAACTACTCTTATCTCGATAAATCAGTAGTATATAGCCTTATGAAAAATTTTCCTATTTAAATTCATCATATTTATTGTAATTTTGAGTTTAAAATTTTATGTATGTAAGTGATTTCTGTTTGCCTTCGACAGCGTCGATCGAGAGGTCATTTGGAAACTACTTCGCTACTACGGGGTTCCATCGACAATTATACACCTCATCCAACAGTTATACGACAATGCTGCATGCCAAGTAATCCACAACGGGAAACTTACGGAAGCCTTCGAAGTGAGGACGGGAGTGAGGCAAGGCTGTCTACTATCACCAATGATCTTCCTGATTGCAATTGATTGGATAATGCGACAGACAACGGCAACCAACGAGGGAACAGGCATAAAATGGACTGACACAAAAGACTTGGAGGATCTGGATTTCGCCGATGATATATGTCTGATTTCCCACAAACTGGAAGATATGCAAGTGAAAAGTAACAAGTTGGCAGAAGAAGCATCAAAGATAGGACTTCAGGTGAACATAGATAAAACAGAGATAATGAAGATTCCTAGCCAACATCAACAACACCAACAGACCACAATAAGCATAAATGGGAAGAACCTGAAAGAAACAACCTTCTTCACCTACCTGGGAAGCATCGTCTCAACTACAGGCGGAACTGACGAGGACATCAAAGCCAGAATCGGAAAAGCAAGACAAGCTTTCATTACTCTCAAATCTGTGTGGAGGTCAACAGCACTCAGCATCAAAAATAAGATCCGGATTTTCAACTCCAATGTAAAGTCAATGCTACTATACGGATCAGAGACTTGGCGAGTCATAAAGAGCATCTCAAACAAACTTCAGACCTTCATTAACAACTGTCTCCGCTCAATACTCAAGATCAGATGGCAGGCCAGAAAAGATCAGCAACAGGGATCTCTGGAAATGAGCGAACCAACCCAGCAGGAACCGATTGTGAAACAAATAGGCAGAAAGAAATGGAGATGGATTGGCTGTCCATACGCTGAGGAAACCATCAAGTGACATCACTAGACAAGCCCTCGAGTGGAACCCGAAAGGGAGGCGGCGAGTTGGTCGTCCAAGGGTGACTTGGAGGAGGTCATGCGAGGAGGAGATGAAAGCATGTGGACAGACCTGGAGCAGGTTGAAAAAGTTGTCAGAAAACCGAAGGCAATGGAGGTGCTCAGCTGAAGCCCTATGTTCCTCAAGGAACTAAAGGATACAATAATAATAATAATAATAAATAGACCCCCATGAAACAAATAAACTGTGAATATAATCAAAGAAGTCAATTTTACAATCTTCTAACCGAATCTCAATCCTCGACTTTTGTCTTATGAGAAAGCATTTGACTTCATCACATCACACACATTTCATTCTTACGTCGAAAAGAAGAATGGGTGGTTTTCAGGGATTCGATTGATTTCCAGTGAGGTCACAAGTTGAATTCAGTCAGAGAAGCATTTAAAACCAGCACAGAGTAATGAATAGCTACTTTTTCCGAGTGCCGGACTCTTCAGCAATACGCATCCAAGGATAGTTCGGTAATTGTAGTCAGTTCCACTGGAAAACCATCTGAAGGTACTGACACGACTGTTTCCAAGTGTTGGTTTGTAGGGATTTGATTGATTACAGGATTTCATCATGAGCTGGCATTAGTTAGAGAACCATTGGAAAACCATTGAGTACTGATGAAGAGTCCTAAACCAGGACGAAACAGCCGTCTAGTACTCCCAGGTTTTACAATGGTTCTCTAACTAATGTTAGCTCATGATGAAAATCCTTCAGCCAATCAAACCCCTACAAACTAACACTTGAATATCAATTAGATACTCACTAGCGACTTGCCCTATTCAGGTAGGTAGTTATCTGGGGTTCTAGTGAGAAGTCGTGGCCATTAGGGTGCAGCAGGTCGGGTGTGAGGACAAATACTCGCCGAAGACATTGGCTAGGGGTCACGCTATATCGTGAATTGCCAGAAGTTGGGATTCATGAGCCATTGGATCGGGTCCCAGTGGCTTAATGGTATACGAGCCAGCTCGCCTTGTAACCAGAATGTCCTGGGTTCAAATCCCGGTGGGTGTGTACTGCTGAAGAGTCCCAAACTAGGATGAAACAGCTTTTCAGTACTCCCAGGTTTTTCGATGGTTCTCTAACTAACTCCAGCTCATGATTAAATCCTGTAAACGACTGTTTCCGTTGTCCTAGTTTGGTACTCTTCAGCACTGCGCACCCACCAGAGTTCGTAGTCCCAGATCTCCCAGTGGTTCTTTAACTGATGTCAGCTAATGATGAAATACTGAAACCAATCAAATCCCTGTACACTAACACTTGAAGATTAATCTGATGCTCACTAGTTACTGACTGACTACAGAACGAAGCCGTTTGAAGTTCTAGCGAGAAGTTTTCGATGTTCATCCATTTCGATGTGAGAACAAATACTCGTCGATGACATTGGCTAACTGTGGCGCTAAATATAACACCAATTAGCAGCAGACATCAGAATTGATAAGCTTGCTACTTGGATTCCGTCGCAGTGACTGTGAACAGTCAACAAGCTGGCCTTGTAACATGAAGATCCTGGAGTTTAATCACCTCTATGTGGTGGGGTGTTGGGTTCACACAGATCGAAGAGTCCAATACCAGGACGAAATAGTTATCATTATAGCTTGAAATTCACTCCACACATAACAATACAAAAGGAAGATAAAATGTACTCCTCTTTTCTCCCCTTTTTCTTTAGGTGTTCCAAATTCCGTTCAAATTGATCTACTACGCTGGATATTGATTAGTCTACCGGATGAAAATCGTATCGTGTTACAAAAGTTATTATACCTTCTGAATCATTTATCACGTCATAGTGATGTGACTGAGGTTAGTGAGTAGTAGTTAGTCATTGTTGATTATTGTCAATTCGTTTTCTTGATTTATTGTATATTTTGTGTGTGTATGTGTGTGTATGTGTGTAAGTTTAACGTGGCTTTCTGGTTTCGAGATCTCTTTGATATACGCTTAATGTTGTCATTTTTCGTGTATCAGACGCATTTTGACTGGATTTTCTAGATGGTTTATGTCCAATATACCACGAATCCGACGATTTACATACGGAAACCAAGAAGTTGGCAAGAGAGGTACAGAAGACCAGACTACAGGTGGAACATAGGGAAGGAAAAGCTAACGAAGATAACTAATTATCACCACTGACAACAACAACAACAGCAATCACCAGTCACCGCTAAATGCAGAAATCTAAGGGAGTATTACTCGAGCTATAAGTTGCACAGATGAGGTTGTTAAAGATGACCAAGGTCAGATAGGAAAAGCGAAACAGGTAATTATTACTCTAAAGATATAAAGTAGTCATCATAACAACCCTCGAACGACCCACTCGTCGCTTCCCATCCCAGTTTCATTGGAGCAACTGCCTACATTGAGAGCGATGTCATTCGACAGCCTCCTCAACCTGTGCCCGATCAATCCATATCCATTTTCTCCTACATATTTCTTGAGCAATCGGCTCTCGCCTGTTGGTTTGTTCCCAGCTAGAGTTTCTTGTTGCTAATTCTTTCTGGCCAGCCTTCAGTGGATCTTCAGTGTGGAATCAGCCGGTGAAGATGGCAAATGTTGATAAAAGTCTTTTGTAGCCTGTTGGAAATGTTTTTCTCGACGCTCAGTGAAAGTTTGAGACTCATATAGAAGGATTAACTGGCTGACTGACTGACTTCACATTTGTATTGCACAAAATCCGATTCCTGTTCTTTATACTAGTTGGCTGAGTGAGCGAGTGAAGCAGAAGATTTCCAAACTGGTTTCCGGTTGATGAAGGCGTATCTTGACATACCAGTTCTCACTGACTGGCTGTCTGGCTAGCTTCGAAATCTTCATCCGTGCCTTCCAACTGCCTGTGGTTGAAACCATGCTTCCTTCCTAACCGGATAAGTGAAGACAGGAAGTATCTTCGGTCAAATCTCTCCCTTTGTTGGTGATTGGTGCTGGTTGTTGTTGTTGTTGTTGGTGGTGGTGGTGGTGGTGGTGGTGGTGGCTGATTATCCTCATCACCTCTATCTTCTGGATGTTCACATGCACTCCTGTCTTCTCTGCCAGCCAGCCTCTTTTGCCAGTCTGTTGGTTTTCGCCTTCCTACCTGTCTTCGAGTTTGTGTGACATTAAACATAAATCATCCACAGGTGAAATCCAGATCTTCTAGAATCTTCTTATCTATCAGTGCAGCGTATACCTGTTTTCTCACTCATTGTAAACGCATACTCCAGTCCACCACAATTGAGAATATCATCGGTGATAACAGGCAGCGGTTATGTCTTACTCTTGTATTCACTTCAACACTTTTATGATGTCAGTCCGTGGTTCTCCGTAATTTAGAGTCTTGACTGTTGTCTTATCAAAACTATTTCCAACAGGCTACTTTCATCAAGACATGCTGAACCTCAGAAAACTGGTCGGCTTGAAAGGATCAAACAACAAGAAATTCTAGTAACGAACCAGCTAAGGACCTATTACCCGAAGAAATGCAGATGGATTGGATATTCACTGAGGAGGCCGTTGAGTGATATCACGTTCCAAACAGGCACTCGAATAGAAATGATAAGTTGAGCGGTCATCCAAGGGTGACGTAGAGAGATATTACCTGCAGAGAGCAGGATGAAATGCAGATATGCTGATGAAGCCCTGTGTTCCCCTCAGGACCTTACAGAACAACAATAATAAGTTGCCTTCACTGAATAACGGATGTGATGGCTACGCACCTACTGGTAGAATCCGGTTCTGTTGACATGAGGGTCAACGAGCCTGATCCACTCTGATCGGTCACTCTAAGGTCATCCACTCAGGTAGTTGTTTGCTTGCATCAGTATGCTTTAAATTCACCAATCACATAATTTAAATAAATCTCTTATTCCCTACCGATAGCTGCTACCTTGACGTGGTGGACGGGCTGGCATATCGCAATGACCCAACAAGCTACACTGACTGGAACTAATGTTCCTCCAGGTCCTTCCATGCCAGGAAGATTGTTAGGATAGCGATTAGACGAAAATCAGTTACCTGCATAGTCTAAGATTTTCTTTTTTACACTGTGCTGACAGCCTGTGAACAAAGTTTCACCGCTAGAGAACAGGGATATAACAGCCGCAGTAAAATGTTTCCCTCAGAAGACCAGTATGCCAGCCAACTATACTGTCTCTCCACTCTGGAGAGAGGAGGTTAGGAAAGGTCGACTCCAAAATTTGAACATCCCGACTTACCCTACGGTGTTCCGTCCGTAGCCAACGGTAAGTGACTAATACTGAACCAAACGAAAAATCCAGTTCATACAGGCAGTAGTCTCTTGGACTTTGTGGTCATTCAACACTAATTCTCTTTGTGTTTCAGGTACCACTAGGAAGCATCAACCCCCACGGTGTAGGATGTAACAAACCCCCACACACTTCCAAAAGCGCACGAAGCCCTCCTGATCATCGTCCTCCTTTATCCCTGTCACTTCTAAAATCTCTTATTAAAGATTTATCACTTTATTTATTTGTGTATAGGTGGTTCAGTCGTCGGTTTCCAGCCAACTACACACTCGATCACCGTCTCGATTCCTGCCCAGTGGACTCTTAAATCACGCTTAGCTGGTATTAAGCCTAGAAAAAGTTGGGTTTGAGGCGGTTAGCGACCTCACCTCGTAAAAACATACGACTACGAAGTTGATTGGTGACTAGCAGTTGAATCCACGACAACCCACATTTCGTCCTATTTGGGACTCGTCAACTAGCTGGATGTACCTGCATTCCCTAGTCACTGAGTGATGATGTACCCACCAAAGCTCGTACCCGGTGCCAAGCACTTCAACCCAATCAATCTAAAATTGAACTAAACATATACCACTTCACCCGAAACTTAAATTCTTACCTCTTGAATAACTCAAAGTAATGAAGAGGAAAAAAACTGTTTGTGTTACATTTGGTCTTTTCTTTGTTTTCATACTTTTTTTCGTATATTTTTGTTTTTAGATGAGTGCTAGTAATCTAGCAGTTTGTTTTGCTCCATCCCTTTATCGATTAATTAAACCACCAACCTTATCTAATCAAGGTGTAAGTCTTAGTCCACGACGTTTAAGACGAACAACTAGTGGACCAGATCCAAAAGATTTAGCTGATCAACGAGCTGCTCAACTTAGTCTAAGTGCAATGATTAATTTAGCACCGAATTTATTTCAAGTGAGTACCAATCATTTGGTTATAATAAAGTATTTCTTTTTTTATGTTTAAGAGTTACTTTGTAGAGATTTGACTGGTTACAAATTTGATCATTGATAGATTTGATTGTTGGTTGGTTACATGTGTGTGATCAGGCTTTGAAATCAGGAGTTAGAGAACCATAGTTGGAAAGCCGACAGACAGCACTGAAAGGCTAGCTGTTTCGTCCTATTTTCGGACTCCTCCTCAATACCCACCCATCATCGGCGTTCGAACCCATGATCTTCTGGTCGCAAGGTGAGCTCATGAAGTATTTTTTCATCAGGACCTGATCCAGTGGCTATTCCATGAATTCCAGCTTCTGTTAATTCGCAATATATACATAGCGCAACCGCTAGCCAATGTCACTGGTGAGTAACCGTTCTGTTACCCGAATTAAGGATTCCCACTGATCACGACTTCCCATTAAAACTCTAGATAATTTCCTGTATACAACAAGTCATTAATGAGTATTGGGTTAATTTTTAAGTGTCGGTTTTCAGGGGGTTTGGTTGGTCACAGGTTTGATCACTAGTGGATGTCAGTAAGAGAGAGAGAGAGAACCATTGGGAAACAGGCAGAGAGTACTGAACAGCTGTTTCGTCCAAGACTGGGACTCTTCCATTTTGTTTTCGCAGTTCAGCCGAAAACTAGACAGCGTATAGCCTTGACGAGGCGTATTATTATTGTCAAGACTTTAGTGTTGTAAGACGGCCGAAGTATATCTGGGCAATGCGCAACCAGCAGACATCTAACCGGTAGTCTCCAGGTAACTAGGTAGAAATAAGTTGTTATTCAGACATTGGGCTAAGAAAATTCATAGCCCCACTATTTTGACTTCCAACAACTCATGATACTATACATAAGCCTGTCTCTATCTAATACATAGTTGGAGAGCATTTGTGCCCGCACCCAACTTCAGATGGACTAACTCCATACTGGTTTCAATTTTTCATAAGAATTCTAAACAGTTCCATCCTGTTGTAGTTAGTTTCCAACGCCAAAGAGTTATCTGCTAGACCACTTGGACCACGAGATCCACCTCTTGTGCAACGGGTCATATTAATTATTGAATTGAATTTTTGATTTTCCCGTCGATTGATTGGACCGAAGTGCTCGGTCTCAGGTTGACATGTCGGCTTCTTGTGCAGATGCTTCGACGATGTCTGGGTATTTAATTAGAGGTCAATTGGTGAATGGTGACTAGCAGCGGAATCCAGGATATGCATTTCGTCCTGTTTGGGACTCATCATCTGAAGTGCTTGTTGTTGTCGTTATTGCTGTTTGGCTACCTTCATCACGTCTGCCTTCTTTGTATTCAGTTGAAGTCCTGTCTTCGCTGGTCGCCTCTACTGACAGTTCGTTGGTTTTTGTCCGTACATTTTCGAGTTTATGTGATATTAGACATATATCATCCTCGTAGTCCAGATCTTCTAGAGTGTTCTTCTCCGTCCAACTTATGCTTGTCTTCTCGTTGAAATTATCCAATTGACCACACTAAGTTATGTCATCGGCGATTGTATGCAGTCTTGTCATACTCGTCTCTTCATTGGTGAGTTTTCTGTCGTGAATCACTTGACATATCGCACTGTCATATTTCATTGTTGAATGAAGGCTGATAAAGTATTGGTGCAATTCATCATAGTGCTAAGGTAGTTTCGAAGGTAATTCGCTATTAACGTTGTCAAAGACTCCAGAGGTATTGAGGTACGGTGGAGACAGTTTACTGTCTGTGTTAACTAAGGTGGTAGGCAGAGTCTAAGAATCAGAGGAAGTCCCGTTGGTTTGGTGTAAGTCATTGATTATTTCCACATACAAGAAAGGAGACAAGTCGTCCTGTGATAATCACGGGGGGATTAGCTTGATCAATATGGTATCTAAAGTTCTAGGCTCAATAATCATGCGTAGACTAAGCGGTCCACGGGAAAAACAAACACAAGGGAACCAGGCAGGCTTTAGACCAGAAAGAGGGTGTACTGATCATATCTTCTCCCTTCGACAGATTCTGGAACATATGCATACTTACTGGCGTCCAACAATCATTATATTTCTTGACCTAAAGATGGCATTTGATTCTGTTGACCTTGTGGTACTATGACGATGCTTGACTGTAAAGCGAATGCCGATAAAATACATTGCACTGATCAAAGCACTCTACTCGAACTCATGCAGCGGGATGAGAGCTTACAGCGAGTTGTCAGATGAGGTGGTGACAACTAGTGGTGTCCGTCAGGGATGCCCACTATCCCCATTTCTATTCAATTTCATCAAAGATGTACTAATGGACCTAACCCCAAACTGACTTCAGCGACTCAGGGATTGATTTGTCGCCACCAGAGAATAATCTCGTTGACTTAGAATATGCAGATGACATAGTCCTCCAACCAGGGTAAAAACGCTGACAAAATAGAGCAGAGTCTTCTGAACACCTTGAGCAGTGGGCAATTTACGAATTTTTTGCATGCGATTCGCTTCTGCTGTCAAACGTAACATGATGCTACAGGACTGGAATACATTGACTCCTAGCCTAAAGATAGGCAGGAGGAAAGTGGTTAGTGGAGCGTGTTGACCACTTCACTTATATGGGAAGTTGAATTAGCTAATGCCATCGGATTGATCGCTGACGAAATCTCAGCATGGATATAGAAGGCTAGTTTCGCATATGCCAGTTTACGCCGTCTCCAGCGTAGACGTGATATCTGGCTATCGACCAGAGGACGTGTGTATTGCTTAGCAGTTCACTCCATCCTCCTTCATAGCTGTCAGTGAGACATGGTCATTGAAAGTGGAAGACATGAAAAGGCTAGGTGGCTGCGTTCTATTTTCCATGTGAAGTGGTACCATAGGGTGAGCAATATTGAGGTTAGGTGTCGGTCGAGTGCTAGGTAAGGGGGGAAATCAGTCGACAAGACAGTTAAATTACAGTGATTGTGACAGTTAGGACATGTGTTACGCATACTGTATACCTAGCCATCGCCTTCCTCGACAACAGGCAATGTTAGCCACTGGTATAGGATTGACCAGGTTGGGAAAAAGCCAGTGGTGGTCAAACCAAAGCATGGCTTCATCGGTCAATAAAATCTACACCAGTTAGTCTAAGCTAGTCAGCCAATCACGTAGGAAGGTGTAGACATCCTGGTTTTGGTTCTCGGGACGCTAAACACCAATGAACTCTGCAGACAATTGGTGATATGGCTCAAAATCGTTGTTCTCAGTGATGGCTAGTGCAGATACATTCACTCCTTGTGACTTGTAATATCCAATGTGACTATATTATTCTTCGATACTACTATTCTTTTTGCCTGATATCTCTGTTTTGCATTTCTTTTTACTTTCTTCTCTTGTTTTGTGTGCTACATGGAGGGAGTGTGGCGACTCGAACTGCTGCACACCGGTGCAAAGTTCTCTGTTGAAACCAGTCAGTCACTCAGGTCAAAGGCGTCTTAGATAGTCGATGATGTTTCTATTTTTGAAATTTTATATATTTATATAACTGTTATCTCTCCAAAAACTTTTCATCCTAGATATCATGTTCTCTATTAAATCATTCAACTCTCCTGACAAGTTTAACGCCTATACCACAAGATTTAGAAACAATTATAGCTAATGGTGATTGGCCACAATGGATACAAACATCACTGACTGATTTAATACGTGAATGTTCATCGTCAAAATCTAAAGGTTGGAATGTTATCAATCGTGAAGCTATGAAATGTTATGGTGTTGAGTAAGTGAATATATATATATATATATATATATATATATATATATATATATGTATATCATATGTAATTATGCGGTATACTTATTTGTTTTAGCTAAAGAGACTTCCTTTTACAGGTGTGATCAATAGTTGGTGACATCAGTTAGACAATCATTGAAAAGTAACAATAGGGATTAGTGGGCAGTTGTTTTGTTCCAGTTTGGGACTCTTTGGGACAGTGCGCACCCACCGAAATTCGGACTCATATCCTTCAGGTTAAAAAGCGAGTTCGTAGACCATTCAGCCGATGAAACCGAATTCAATGGTCCATGGATTCCAACTCCTGTCGATTCTCCAATGTTATTGGCGAGTAACTCAATTCATACCTGACATGATGGACTCAGATGATCACGACTTCCCATTAGAACTCTAGATAACGTCCTGCTTATATCCATTGACTAGCGAGTACCAGATTAATCTTCAAATATTGGTTTGAAAAGGGGTCTCACCGTTTTGCAGGTTCGATCACGTACCAACTTTTAATCTACTTGACTGGTTGGTGACTGACAGCGGGATTGATTATATGCTCATTTCATCTTATCTGAAACTCGTGACCTGGAGTGATGAAACCCACTAGCGAAATATCTGGCTGTCGTTACTTTGTAGACGTTCTTTCAACATTTCAAATTATGAGTGCTGGATTCAAATTTCATTGGGAAAATTACTGAGTCACTGAATAGAATACAAGTACATCTACTAGCTGACGAGTGTTTAATGGGACGAAACACGCACTGACTTGAATTGCACTGCTAACCCCCACCAAAGAAGGTATCTTTGGAGCTTTCGTGCTAAGCGTCGGCATATCAGCAAATACTGAACATTTCGAAAATTTAAAGCAATTAGTTCCCTTTATGGTATCAGCAGTACATATACGGTGAATGCGCTGATACAAATGAAGAAGAAAGACAACACCTCACTGAAATACTGTTAGATTTCAATTACCCACTGAGATTTATTAGGCGTTACGGGATTGTCAACTATAGAGCTTTGCCTATCCAATCGGCTCCCAAAAAAGATATTTACATATCCTTGCCGTTCAGAGGTGATCAACAAAGTCTGGTCACTATACAAAGACTCAAAGCCGAAATTAATAGAACCTATTATGCAGCTAGACTTATCTTCATAGAGAAAACGAGAACTATGCTGTCCTGTAAACCCTCACATTATCCGAACGATAGTGTCACATCCCACTGTGTCTATCAATTTACATGTATGTGTGGAGACACGTACATAGGGAGGACCCATCGGTTTCTGCAGGTTAGGGCTACAGAACATATTCCAAATTGGCTGAAACAACAAATGAAATCGCCAAACACAAATAACCCCGGAAATAGATGTCCAACATCATCTATAGCGAAGCATATTATAGAGGCGGGTCACAAGGTTGATTTCAAAAATACCTTTGAGCCGATATATAAAACAAGGCTGGGCCACATTCTTAAATTCATTGAAGCCTTAGCCATAAAAAGACTTAAACCTGTCTTATGTGTCCAAAAGCTATTTGTTATCACCTTAAACCTGCCTTGGTAATCCAAGCTAGAACCAAGGACCGATTTACTTCATGATATTTTCAACCCCTTCTTTGCCTTGTTTTTCCTCTTTTCTCATTTTATCTTTCTCACCCACACCTTTTGCGTCTCCCTACCCATTATTCATGACCTTGGTCTGTAGACAATCTGACCTGTTTTGTAATTATTTATGCCTTCTTGCCTTCTATAAAAACTGTATTTGACAAGTACTCGTGTGTGTGTGTGTGTGATCAGAATGTCCGAAATGTGTTGCGCCAATACATTACACGTTTCAGATAAACTATGTCTTCTTATTGTGTTGTCGAAACTGAACATTTCGCTTCAGTTTTCATTGTGAACTGTTGTCGTCATGATGACGGATGTTCGAATGGACCACCATGGAACATTGGACAGTTATTTAATCTTATTGAAAGAATCTCCTTTGTTCATTCCATTCTTTCCAAGTGGAACATAAAGCTTCAAGTTTCGAGTATTGATGTTTCAGTGGTGATAGTATTATTGTCTCCACAAGGTGGAATCGATAGCTTTGTCCCCAAATTTCCTTCTTTTTCCGAACTTACCACTTGCCAGTAAATTAGGAGAATCTTTGAAGTTTATCGACTGAGGATTAAAAACCCGGACGGTTTGTGACTTAAAACTTGAGAGTACTGGTTAGCTTGCTCGTCCCAGTTTGGGACTCTTTAGAGATACGCATCCATGACCTCACCAGGAATCGAACCCAGGACTCTGACGTTACAAGAAGAGTTTATCGATTCTTTTAAACCCTGTAACACAACTCATTAGCTTTTGTGTAACTTTCATTCTGTGAATTTCAGTCATTATCCACTAGACCACTTGGTGGGTCACGAAAGTCACCTCTTGTGTAAGGAGTATCAGTTTATTATTGGACCAAAATGTTTCGTCTTTGCTGTTTACATGTCACCTCCTACGAAGTACTCTTCGGTAATGTGTGAGACGGTCTAGTGGATGGTGACTAGCAGTGGAATCCAGGATATGCCTTTGGTCCAATCGACAGCGAAGTTAAATAATAGCCTCTCAAGGGATGCAAACGCTCCAGTGGCATTGAACGCATGCTAGCAGTTGGCTAAGGATACCTGTCATTACCACAGCACAAATATGAATGCTTTTGACCAACCAAAGAGAAAACTTCACCCAGATCACGTTTTCAAGTACTGTTTAGATAATGTTTGAATAGTTCTCTAGGTTTAGTATTAGGGTTAGGATAATGGTTACAGTTAGGGTTACCACTAAGGTTACGGTTAGGGTTACGATTAGGGGTAGATTTAGATGTGGTATTATTTAATCTAATTTGTTTTATCATCCACATTTTGCCAGTAAGTAGTCGTCGTCGATTCTCTTACTGGAAACCATAGTAATTCAACTGACGGCTTTTGGGGAAGACTGGAAAACAGAATAAGAGCGATAAACAGGTCACAGAACAAGTTCATCTTGAGTCAAATGGCTGAATACATGTGCAGAAACTTGTCTGACTTAAAAATTAATACTCCTCATTATCACTGGGGCGTATTTTTAATTCATGTCAGAGAAAGATACCCTGTTTAATGTGTTTTCATGTATTTTCTTGTAAATAAACGTCATTTTTCATGCAGAAATCACTTATTTTTATGATTGGTTGTCTCAAGGTCACGCGTACATCCACATCTCTTGGAACACTATTGTTTAACTTTGCTCAGTCGACCAGGGGAAAATCAGAATTGAATTCAAAAAGACAAAACAGTAGGAGCGTGCTTTTGTTCAGATGAAACATCCTGGCGTAGTCAGCATATGGGGTTACGTAGGACTAGTTCTCCTCATTCTTCTAGTGGTTTAACAGGAAATAAACGTATGTAGAAGTATATTAGCCATCTGCACACTCTTATAAGGACTCCAAAGCCTCCGTAGAACAGCTACTCTCTACATTCCCTTTCTTCCCTCTTACTGGAATACCTTCTACTGTTGCCGCTGCTGCTATTTTTGCTCTTCAGACGGTTTAAGCTTTCGGTGGTTTAATAGTAGAATGCTTTCACTAATCATACAAAACACCTGGGTTCTACTCCCAGCCGACATGCGCTCCTAAACCTTGCCTAGTTCAGTAGGCTTTAGTAGAACGGAGAAAGAAGGAAGGTCGAACGACAGACAAGCAAGCGACCCCAGCCTTTGGAACACCGAACAACATCACTGCAAACAACTGACGCTGCGAAGCTTGAAGCCTCACAACTTACATTCATTCTACTCGGATGACATCATCATAGATGTACTAATGGATTTAACCCTAACTCACTTCAGAGACTCAGGGATTGATTTGCCACCACCAGGGAATAGTCTCGTTGACTTAGAATATGCAAATGATATAGTCCTTCTAGGCGAGGACACTGGAAAAATCCAGCAGAGCATTCTGAACACCTTGAGGGGCAGCAATCTACGAATGTTTAGCATGCGATTCACTCCCCCCCCCCCAAATGCAAGATGATGTTACAGGACTGACTGGACTACAGTGAATCCTAGTTTAGAAATAGGGAGTGAAGTGGTAAAGCACGTTGACGGCTTCAATTATTTGGGAAGTACTATCAGCCCCAACGGGTTCATTTCTGACGAAATCTCAGCTCGAATACAGAAGGCTCGATTCGCATATGCCAGTTTACGCCGTCTCTGGCGTAGATGTGATATCCGACTATCGACCAAAGGACATTCCGTCCTCCTTTATGACTGTGGGACCTGGCCATTAAGAGTGGAAGACATGAAAATATTATCTGTCTTTGATCATAGATGCCTGCGTTCTTTCTCTCGTATGAAGTGGTGTAATAAGTTGAGCAATATTGAGGTTAGGCATTGGTCGAGTGCTAGGTAAGAAGGGAGGGGAAATCAATCGACGAGGCTGTAAAATTACATCGACTGAGATGGTTGGAACATGTGTTACGTATGCCTAGTCATCGTCTTCCTCGATAACAGGCAATGTTAGCCGACGTAGGGTCAGGCTGGAAAACAGCTAGTAAGCGGTGGTCAAACCAAAACATGGCGCCAGTCAATGAAACCCACAACAGTTAGTTTAAGCTAGCCACGTAGGAAGGTGTGAACTTCCTGGTTGGGGTCTTCGGGAAGGTAAAAACCAATGGTTGGAAATAATTGGTGATATGGCTCAAAATCGTTCTCAATGGCTGGCAAGCGCAGATGCATCCACTCCTTGTGACTTATGATTTCCAATGAAACTATAATCTTCTTCGTTATTACTATTGCTTTGTCTCACACCTCTGTCTACTGTCTCTATTATGCATTTCTTCTACTTTCTTCTCTTGCTTTGTGTGCTACGTGGAGGGAGTGTGGCTACTCGAACTGCTGCACATCGGTGTAAAGTTCTATGTCGAAAACAGACAGACTCGGATGACAAAGGAAGAATGAGGAAAAGTGTAATGGATTAACTGTGAGAATTCTATGACCATACCATTTTATTCAAATAGGGAATTTCTATGATAAATTTGAAATAGTCATTACTGATTCGCAGCTGTTAGCCTTTCGTTTTGAACCTACATCAGTTAGAGCTACGGAATGAATGGATGTCCTGTAACTGCACGGAGAAGTCATGACGAGTAGCGTTCATCATGTGTCAAGAAGAAGTGGATGCCCGTCGAAGTCATTCTTTAAGGGTAGAGCTACCTTCATCACGAATTGACAAAGTTAGAATTCATGGGTCACAAAATCCCTGAATAATTAACGACCATGGTCTTGGGATTTGAAGACCCCAAGTTCGATGCCTGGTAGTGACTTCATGGGTTTGCGCCATTGAAGAGTCCCAAAAAAGGACAAAACAGCTACCCAGTACTCCTTGTTGACTTTCATTAATAACTACTCTAACTTCAAGGTTGGTTCTTCACGAAAACCTAAGGATTAAAATTAATCCAAATCCCCGCAAGCCTCCCTCCCCAATAATCGAATTCATTCCTAAGTAGGCAGAAATTATCCAGGATATGTCTTTGTGTCTGTTTAAGAAATTTCTTCAGAGGCTCAGAGAGATTCTACATTCTAAGAAGGAGTTATAAAAGATCAAAGAACATTGAAATTATCTAATCAAAGGCGGTTCATCAATCAATTTAGTTTTAATTAATACTGTGAGTGCAGTTACTTAACAGCACCGGTATTTACCAACAGGGAGTACTGTGCAGCTGTTTCCTACTATTGTGAGATTCTTTAGCACTGCGAACCCACGAATCCACCGCCGGAGATCGAACACGATGACTTTTGGTTAGGAGACCAGACTCGTTGATTATTCAGCTACTTAGATGCATATGTGGTTCATTGGTAGATTGCTCACCAAGAACTACGCCTCACGTGGTCTGGTGTTCGCTTCCCCACTGATACACTCCTTGACTTCACTTAGCCTATATGCAACCTAGTAAAGGGGAAGGTTAGGTGTAAGACAAGTGGTCTCACATTATCACTACTGGAAACCTCAAATCTCAAGCTTAAAGCCCTGGAATGAAATGAATAGCTAGGTGAAGTTTAGCAGTGCGTTGACTAGGAATCGAACTCGGACCACGTTGAGTAACTCGTGGGGCATTCAATAATTGAATCACCGACTCATACAGATATGATACTTTAACTGAAATGTGTGCGTATTTCTGTGTGTTTTACAATTTTTAGTTCTGGAGCTAATGAATTATTAGATGGTTTTGAAGTTCATTACAAAAAGATTCCAAATTCAAGTGAAACAAAGACTACACCGAACACTTTACGTCTGTGGCGTTGTTCACTTCATATACCTGAATCGAATCCACGTACTATATTGAATCGATTCTGTGAAGACAGGTTAGTTTTAATTACACATGTTTGATGATTTTTACTAGTTGTAATTACCTCACATATTTTTAGAGAGAAACTGAGTATACAACTATCGTACAGTTATCAAAATAGATATCTTACTCAGTAGAGACGTTTATTATTATGTATTGTTATTGTTGTTTCCTTTAGTACCTAGAGAAATATAGGGCTTCAGCCACACGTCTCCATTGCGTTCGGTTCTCAGCTCTTTGAACGTTTTTACCTGTCCCCACGTTTGCCCACATGCTTTCATCTCCTCTTCGCATCATCTCCTCCTCTATGTCACCCTCGCACTGACGACTCACTCGCCACTTCCCATTCTGGTTCCAGTTGAGCGATGACCTGGCCTGTGATGTAACTCACTTGATGGTTTGTTTTCTCAGAGTATGGTCAATCTACTTCCATTTCTTCCAGCATGCATATTTGTTGCACAGTTTGTTCCTGGTGGGTTGGTTCGTTCGCTTCCAGAGATCCCTGTTGCTAATCTTTTCTGGCCGGCCATCTGATCTTGAGTGATACTGAGCGAAGACAGCTGTTGATGAAAGTCTGTGTTTTGTTCGAAGTGCCCTTCGTGAGGCAGCGTGGCGCCAAGTCTCTGATCCGTATAGAGTAGCACTGACTTCACATTGGAGTTGAAAATCTGGATCTTGCTTTACATGCAGAGTGCTGTTGACCTCCACACAGACTTAAGAGTAATGATAGCTTGCCCTGTTTTCCCGATCCTCTCTGTTTTGATATCCTTGACAGTTCCGCCCACTTGTAGTTGAAACGATGCTTCCCAGGTCGGTAGGTGGGTGAAGGAGGTTGCTTCCTTCAGATTCAATTTCTCCCATTTATGCTGATTGTTGTCTGTTGTTGTGGTTGCTGTTGTTGTTGGCCAGGAATCTTCATCACCACCTCTGTTTTCTCTATGTTTACTTGGAGTCTTATCTTGGATGCTTCTTCTGTCAACTTAATGCTTTTCACTTGCATATCTTCCAGTTTGTGGGAAATCAGACATATATCATCATCGGCGATGTCCAGATCCTCCAAGTTTTTTATGTAGGTCCATTTTATGCCTGTCCTCCCCGTTGCCCGCTGTCTGTCTGTCTGTCTGTCTATCACATTATCCAGTCTACCGCAATCAGGAAAATCATTGTAGATAGTAGGCAGCCAGCCTGTCTTGTCTTAATCCCGTCTTCACTTCTTCAAAGGATTCCATGAGTTTTCCGTTGTGGATTACTTGGCATTCAGCATTGTCGTACAACTGTTGGATGGCTGAGGTGTATAACTGTTGGCAGCACCGCTTTATGACGGCAAAGTAGTTGTGAAGTAGATATTTAAGAATTCGTTATATGCATATGATTGTCATTATTCGCTTAGGTTTTGAGTAGAACATAGAGGGCATCAGAAGCATGTCTCCATTTCATCCCGTCCTGTGTATTCCTCTTTAGCGGACTCCAAGACTGTCTGCAAGCTTTCATTTCCTCTTCACACGATACTGTCCATGTCCCTTTCGGACCACCGCTCAACTCATCGTGTCCCACTCGGGTTCCACAACACAACATCTTCCAGCTGAGGATGTGCGTCCACTCGACTACCACTGCCTGCATAGAATTGGTTCCTTCCAAATGAATTTTCATGTGATTTCGAGGTCCCGCAACCTGTATTCGGATATAGTGGTGATCAGTACTCATTGAGTGTGTCATTATCTTGTAATATTGACTTTGGGGGCCTGGGTGCGTACTACGGATGTCATCCCAAAGACTTTCGTACCACTGTCTGTTTGCTAGCTCTGATATTGGATGGAGAAAGTGGAGAGGTAGTCAGCCTATGATGTCGTGTCGTGGAATGAATTGTAAGCTGATTCCGATCTTCCATGCTGGTGATAACCTTCTTGGCTAGTTTCATGTTTTGTTCAACATTATACAAATCACTTTCGGACGTCCAAATCCTCAAGTTTGTTATAATTGCGGAATTTTACTGATTTTTTTCTTATAATACCGATTTGGAATAATTGGAACCAAATAACGATTGATAGAGGATTTCATCATGAGCTGACATCAGTTAGAGAACCATTAGAAAACCAGCGCAGCTAGTACTGGACAGCCAGCTGTTTCGTCCTGGTTTGGGACTCTTCGACTAGTACTCACCAGCCGCCAGGGTTCGAACCCAGGACCTTCTGGTTACAAGGCGAGCTGGCCCGTAGACCATTAGGCCACTAGGAATCGCCTAATCCGATGGCCAGTCCATCAATATCTTAGATGAGTAACTGTACTCACTTCCGACCTGCTGCACCCTACTGGTTATGGCTTCCCACCAAAACCCCAGGTAATCACCTACCTGGATATAGCCAGTCGCTAGTGAGCATCAGATCAATTTTCAAGTATTGATTTTGTAAGGAATTTTGTTTGATTGGTTGGAAGATTTTATCATGAGCTGAAGAGTCCCAAACTCGGCTGACGAAACAGCTATCCAGTATTCCCTCCAATGGTTCTCTAACTGATGTCAGGTCATGATGAAATCCTGTAACCAACAAATCAATATTTTTTTCATTTCAAATTCTGACTGATAGACTGTTAATCTAGTCTGCCGTTGCACATAAAACGCACACACGCCCACTCTCACGCAAACGTGTTTTGTTAGTTTTTTCCATCAATTCAATAATGAGTAACCTACTTTTACTTCTTGTATCATTATGCTTTGAATTCTAGAACTTCATGGGATCCAGAAGTGTTACAAATGAAAATTATTGATCAAATATCTGATTGTGTTGAATTGTGTGAAGTACATTTGGCTTATACATATCCACAACCAAAATGTGTACTTCATTTAATCCGTGGTATTCAGCATACCCTAGACGATGGTTGTTGTGCTATGCTTAGCGAATCAATAACAAATACCAGTTTTCCAAATGTAAATACATCTTTCTGTGTACAGTCAACGACAACACCGACAACAACAACAACAATAACAGCAATTGGAACTGGAACTCCTGGAATGAATCCATGTGGAAATAGTATACTTGGTCATGTCTATGAAGACCACGTGTACATTCGTCCAAGTAATGATGGTCAAGGTTGTCGGGTATATTTACTATCACGTATCGATTTAAAGTGGGTTCTTGCATTTCTATTGGTTTTTATGAATTTGAGGTATGTTTTTTTCTTTGTTTTTGCCAAACTTTTATAGGTAATGTGACAGACGGTGGTAAGAGATTGAAGATGAGATGAACTGAAGGTTTCGGTATCGTGAAAGGGGTCAAACTATCGAGTTGAGTGTGATTTTCTCTAGGGATAGGATTGATCTTTTCGAGGTACGAGGTATGGTTGATAGCCACATGCCCAACCTTCCCTCTTTTCCCTGGCTTAGTCGGACTGATAGTTGCTGCTTTGAGTTGGTAGTCAGGTTTGTGTATCTCAAAAACCCAACAAGCTACGCGGGCTCGAAGTAACTGTTCCCGTAGGTCCAACCTTGCCAGGAAGATTGTTAGGATAGCGATTATACTAGAAGCAGTTACCGGCATAGTGTAAGGTTTTCTTTTTTGACACTATTCTGGGGGTCTGTCGGCGAAGTCGTACCGTTGGAAAACAGGGGTGTAACATCAGAGGACCAGCACGCCAGCCAGCTATACTGTTTCTCCACTCTGGAGAGGGTTAGGGAAGGTCGACCCCAACAGTTTTACATCCCGACTTACCCGACTTTGGTCCGTAGTCGACGGTAAGTCACTAATACGGAACCAAACCAAGAAGCCAATTCATACGGATCGTGTGTGAGCGGAATCAAGCGGTTGTCCTCTGGGTTCTGTGGTCACGCGACACTAACTCTTCTTGTTTTTCAGGTACCCCTGGCTTAGGATCGGTTATAAAACTAGGGAAATAGTAGACTTGGGGCGAGATGTCATCCTGAAGAGACTAAAAGATGCACTGGATGCAGAACTCCAGGGACAAGTCAGATTCAGGAAGCGGCGAATTAAATGCTGATCCACCAAACAGGATTTAGACTACTAGTCAATCTCTGTCACAACTTTATCGAATTATGAAGAGACCTTCGACAGTGTTGAACACGTGGAGATTTGGAAACCACTATTACTTTGACAGTACACAAAGTGCAGTGCTCTAAATCTTTGTCGACCTCATTTAATAGCTGGCCGAATGATGATGCCACACTGTGAGAAATTCAACAGTGAAGCCTTTGAAGTGGAACCACGAATAAGACAAGACTTCCCACCTCTATCACCGATGATATTTGAAAATGTGGTGGACTAGGTCATGCGACAGTCTGTGGGGAGGGAGAGGGCAGGAATACACTGAATGAACTAAAAGTCTCTAAGAGATCTGGAATTTACGGACGACTTATATCTAATATCACACAAATTCGAAGACTTATAGACGAAAATCAACAAGAAGTCAGTGGAGGCTGACAGGAAAGAGAAGACTTCAAGTGAACATAGAGAAGGCAGGCGGAATGAAGATACCTGGCTGCTAACAATGTAAGCTACCAGTCACTATCAACGGTAGGAATTTGTAAGAGGCCACTTCTTTCATTTATCTAAGTAGAATCGTTTCAACTCGGAAAGCTACTGCACTCAGCATAAAGAACAACATTCGGATTTTTTCAACACTAATGTTAAGTCACTCAGTTCTTGTTTCTAGTTCAGAGACTTGGCGTTTGTATCACCAAAACCATTTCGAACAAGCTTCAGATGTATGCCAACAACTGTCTCCGCTCCACACTGAAGATCAGATGGATGACTATAAAGAATAAGCAGCAAAGAGCTCTGGAAGACAACCGAAAACCTGTCACCCAAAAAGTACTCCGAAGAGACCCTTGACTCAGATCACACACTAGACTGACCCTCGAATTGAACTCAAATGGGAAACGATAAATTGGATGGTGGTCTGAAGGTGACATCGATGAAATTGTGTAAAGACGAGGTGGAAGCTTATGGGCAACCGTAGAGACCCTGGTTGTATTCCGATTTAGCGTACTCCCAAATTTCGTTTACTTTCTTAAAGATGGAAAGTTGGGAGTATGAGGATAAAAAAACCCCACCCCATCTGTTATTAATTAACTGTATTCACAGTAATAATTAAAACCAAATGGAATGATGCCGTATCTCTGATTAGGTTTCGGCGAGTTTTCCGTTGTGAATTACTGGTAATGTAGCACTGTCATATGGCCGTCGATTGCGGTTAATACAGGTGTAGGGCACGCCGTAATGTTGACGCAGTAGTCTCCAAATCATTTCATAATCAACGCGATCACAATATTTTTCAAAGCTGATGAAACTGAGGTAGACAATTGACTGCCGTTTAGGAAGCGACGAGTGAATCGTCCTAGAGTGTGACATGAAGGAGATCATGGGATGAAGAGATGAAATAGTTTAGTCACTTGTGGCCCCAGCTGAAGAAGACAGCACCAAATGGAACAAAGTGGAGATGTATTATTGAAGCCCTATGTTCCACTCCAGAACCCAAGAGAATTATAATAATAAATAATAATTCTTAAGCTTACCGCCACTTCTGAGCCTGAAAGAACTGAACTCAGGCTTCGAATCTCAATGGGGACACCATCACTCAGGTATCAAATAGGACCAAACATGTATTTCCTCAACTCTTCTCTCAGTCAACACTCATAAAGATTAAAAAAATAAAAATAGCTATCTCTACTTTTAACTCGCTCAAATATTATTATTATTATCGTTTCACGTCTACACCTGATTTATCCTGCGTGTTTTTTTTCCTACTTTGCTTTTTCCAGAGGCTATGGACCTGATTGGTATATAAATCAATGGGGGCATACATTATGTCGAAGACTAGTAAATCTAAAAAGATCCTTTCAAAAGTCTAAACCACTACCAGTTTTAGTTTATGAATTAGACGAATCTGTTAATCGACCTTCTCCGCCACCTTATGCCACTATCACAACTACTACTTCTACGACCATTGATGATAACAGTCAAATTATTCCAACGACGATAGAAACGTCGTCAACTCCAACGTTGTCAGGAGTTACCACTACAACAACAACAACAACAACAAAAACAGCAACAACGACTGTTGTGATCAACAGATTCTAAAAAAGACGGAAGAAAACATCATCCACGTGTATTGATCTTCTCATCAACGAAAAAAAGACACGACACCACGGTACAACCTTCTCCTTGTGTGTATATAATAATAATAATGCATAAGTGTATTCTTCCATTTGAGTAATTTCTGTCCGCCTTACTCTCTTCCTGCATCTCTCTGTATGTGTGTGTGTGTGTGTATGGATTTGTGTGTCTTCATGAACATTGCTTCCACTGGACCTTTCATTCATTTATTTCTCAAGAGTGTATACTTATATAAATCCTACTGACGAGTGACGATAACGTATTCGCACACTCACACACACACACACACACACACACACGGCGATGTATACACGTATGTCTTCCGACGACGACAACAACAACAAGAAAATACGAAGAAATTCTATTTTTTATATACATATAATAAGTTTCTTGAGTAAAACGTGTGTGCCAATTTGATTGCAAACGTGAAGATGTTAAATGGTGAGAAGAGCTGCGTGTGTGCGGGGGAAGAGTGATGAGGCCTGAAAGTGGCGGCCATGTACTTAATGTATTTCATCAGATTTTTATTATAATTATTGTTACTACTGATATTACTCTATTAGTAGTAATTGAGTAATGTTTAAAAAATACAAATTAATAAGATTGACTCTTCATTATTATGATTATTACACTTACTTGATATTATTGTGTATGCTGAACTGTGTGTTTGTGTGTGTATGTGCCGGGGGGGGGGGATGATGTGAGTGTACCTGTGTAATATTTTTGTTATTTTTTCTCCAGCCTTTCTTTTGAAAAAGTTCCTTCTTTAACATTTGTGTTTGTTTATTGTGCTACAAAGACACCCACCCATATTGATTGATTGACTGACTGACTGATCGATTAATATTCAGAGGATACACTAATCTTTGTACATATGTATTCTATTCATTCTTTACCGCCCCCTCCGCCTACGCTACCCTACCCCATCTCATCAAAGAGTTTTACATTTGAATTTAATTCGTTTAATGTTGGTCAGTTAGATACTTTATCGTTATTATGATTATTACTGGTTACTGAGACAATTATGGAGTGGTTGAATACCATGAAATACCTTGATGATTGCAGGTGAATCAAAAATAATCGATATATAAGAGAGAGAAGGTTGTTTCGCCTCCTCTCCCCTCTTCCGTTCACTCAACTCCAATCTCACACACACATACACACCAGCCAATATTTCATTTGTGAATGCCAGAGATAAATCTAAGAATTCTTTCTTTTATTTTCAACAGACAATAGACGTCGGTGGGTGTGTGTGTGGAACTAATTACTCACATGTCTTTCCATTGTGTTCACTGGCTGACTGACTGACTGAGTGTCCGACTGTTGGAATGGTTTCGAGCGATTTTAACTCATGTGTTTGGGTTGAATATTATTTTTTTCTATCTTCCTGTGTTTCCTGCCAAACTGGTTTTTCGTCTTGTTTCGTGTGTGCGTATGAGTGTTTGTGTGCACGCACGTGCACGCGTGTGCCTGCACGTGTCTGAGAGTCCCCTCTCCCCTGTCTTCGTTTATTTATTGTTCTACTTTACTACTGCCACACTACTAATATTACTCATGAGTAGAAATTCTCGATTTTACCGATTATTTTGTTTATAGAATAATAATTATGTTAATAATGATAATATTAAATAATAATACTGATCCAGTAGTGATCATAATGATAATAATAATATTACTGATAATAATAGTGAAAGAAATTCTCCGGAGACGGAAACAGAACAAAACAAAAATTGGAATTTACTTGAAATATACTCATGTACAACTTGTTTATTATTGTTGTCGTTGTTGTTGAGTTCTTGTATGTGTATGTGTGTGTGTGATGAAAAAAGTGGGACAGCATTATTTCAAGTTTAACCACGGATTGATGTTAGCTAGAGAATCATAGAAAACGAATAGGGAGTGGTGGACAATCAGGTGTTTCATCCCAGTTGGAGACTCTTCAGAATAGGATGCATCCACCAGATTTCGAGGTCAGGATCTACAGGTCATAAGGTGGGCTGGTAGATCACATTTAGCTACTGGGATCAGATCCAGTGACCAGTTCACGAATTCCAACCTCTTTCAATTCACCATTTGTCAGTTCTTAAACTTTCCGTCTAATTGTTATGCGGTAGCACAATGCCTTCCTGTCTAGTCAATATCTTAACAGGAATAATCTAGTCATATCTTCACATATCGATTGGAATCATACTGATCTATAATGAGAACGGAATTAGGTAGTAGCTAGGAAATCGACAAATGTCAGAAATTATATGTTTTTGTGAAGATATTCTTTTCACGGGTTAGACCACGAATTGATATCAGTTAGAGAACCATTGAAAACCGTGGCCAAACTCGTAAAAACAAGTCCTGAAAATTAATGTAATCCTCGCTAGTGACTACCGGCTACAAAAGAGAGTTTCCTGGAGTTCTAGTGAGAAGTCATGACCACTGAGGTCCTTCAAGTCAAGTGTGTGAGGATGGACATCCCACCGATGACATTGGTTGGTACCATTTGCGCTAAACGCACCACGAATTGGTAGAAGTTAGAATTCATGGGATGGCTGGCCATTGAGTATTCGGATTCCAGTGGTGGCTGGATGGTATACGAATCAGCTTGCCTTGTAATTGGGAGGTCCTGGGTTGGAACCCTGGTGAGTGGATGCGTACTGCTGATGATTCCCAAACTAGGACGGAGAAAACAGTTCTCCAGTATTTTAGAACTGTTTTCTTTTTGCGGTGGTTCTCTAACTGATATCAACCCGTTGTCAAACTTGTGAAAAAAAAACAAATTTAATCCTTACAAACTAACCCCTGAAGATATTCTTTGTTAATTTTGTGTCGATATGCACGAAATCCAAGTCTAGGGTAGTGTGACGATTGAAACCAACTGTTGTAACATTACTTTTCAAAGTGTACCACCATGACCAGTCAGTCAGTCACCTTAACTGAGAGAATTAAATAACTGTCAAAAATACTGAAGACTACCCGATATAAATGACATTTATTGCTCTGCAAACTGAATTTCGATAAATCAAATAAGACTTAATTTGTAATAGTAGTAATAATAATAATAATTTCACTTTTATTACAGAAACAGTACTAGTGGTACAGTGTGGAATTTTCAGCACATATCTACAATATTGCATCTAATTTCATCGCACATTTAAAAGGAGTATTACAAAAAAAATTAACAAATACAAAAAACAACAACAAAACCAAAAAGAAACACAAAAATGACAAAAAAATGCAAATAAAAATACCAAGTAGTAAGGAAGATAAACACCAATAATGAAAAATATTTTCAGTATTGGGTAGTGGAAGCTATGATATGTGTATGCGTGGTGAACAGTAACAGCTATAATCATACAAGAAGTTATGAGATGTTCTTAAGAATGTTTATAGCCAAGATGATCAGTTAATTTGATTGAACAACACTAAACAATCATAAAATAAACATTTCAGGTTGTGTTTTTTTTATTGTCAGCACTAATGCTGTGTTTGTAGTGGTAGTGTGAGTAATCATGCATAATACAAAATTTTTTAAGATGGTGATAGTGGCGTTCACAAACAAGATTGTCAGTTAAATAGTGCCGAACAAAGAACAACCACAAAACTAGTATTACATGATGGTTAATGACAGGACAATTTTTTAATAATCATAGTGATAATATAGTCGGACCCAGTAGATAACAAAAGAAGGAATAGAGTAAAGTACAAAAAAAGTAAGCCAACGATAATTAATTTTAAGCAGCTAAGTATGTTTAAGAAGGTTGTTCACTATAGAGTACAAATAAGAGAGTATAAGGGGGAAATAACAAGGGCCAAAATTATGTTATTAACAACAAAGCAAGTCATAGGTTTCACGCCTAACATTGTCTCTGTCACTTAGAACACGGGCTGGCCAAATATGGTATCGTTGAGTTCCTATACTTGGTTGTACGAGCATATATTATTTTGTACTGATTTCTGGTTCTACCTGATGAGATGCAAAGAGAGAGTTGGGAATAGAGGGGGTGTTGGCAGTCAGAGAGTATGGTTTTAGACCATTTTTCGCATGTATTCAGATGCTTATCCACTAATGTAGTGACGAGCTGACTGAGTTTTACACCGCTAGTCCTACTAACTACCTTCAACATCCTTCTCAGGATGGTATAGTCCTTTTTCAGTAACCCAGGAAAGACTAACGGGGAACAGTAAAGTAGAATAGGTAGGATACGAGAGTTGACAAATTGTGAAAGCAGAGGTTGAGGGACTCCAGTTAGTCTGAGTTTCTTAATGTAGTAGGTTAGACGAAACACTTTCTTGGAAATCATTTGGATATGAGATGACCAGGTAAGGTCGGAAGATATAACTAATCCGAGGTATTTTGCATTAGACTTTGTTTCAATTATAGTCCCCTCACTTCTACAGACATCATGAGTGCTTACTAGTGTTTGTAGATCTCGTTTATGCCTAAAGGAGAAGTCGACAGTCTGGCATTTTGAGGGATTCAGCATGAGGCCATTTAGTTTGGACCACTGACTGATGTCCGACAGGAAGCTATTTAATTTGAAGCAGTCTGACTGAGACTTAACGGGAAGCGAAACAGTCAGGTCATCTGCATATTTGACGAAGTTGATCTCGTCTGAAAGAGGTAAGTCATGTAAGAAGAAGGAAAAGAGAAACGGAGAGAGAACAACACCCTGAGGAACATCAGCTTCAGTAAGCAAAGGAGAGAAAGCTACACTATTATATACCGTATACTGCATGCTATTGGAGAAGTAAGAGTGCAGCCAGTTGATAGCCCATTTTTCTGAATGGTGTTTTATTTATTTATTATTTATTTAAACTCATAAAAAGACTTAGTACAATACGGCACCAAGAAGGATGCGCCACACAATAATAATAAAACAACATAGATTAAAAGTAAAAGACAAATAAGTAGAGAACGGATAAAGAACTTCATCTAGAAGGAAAACAGTCATATTCATAACAAGTTCAAACAGTATTCGTCAACTATCATCGGGAAGGGAAGAAAGAAGGAAACTGCAACACGTTCGCCATTGATTACGGTTCTTAGCCATATCCGATAACGTTTTGATCTATCTCGCGGACTCCAACCAGCTAGTCGTGACGCACCACACCAACCGATGCTAACCTAGCACAAAAATTCTTCATTCCACGACTCCACGTCATGGACTGACCACCGCTCCGCCTTTTCCATCCCGTCCTAGGGCTGGCTAGCGAACAGAGACCTGTACGGAAGCCTCTGGGATGACATTCTCACCACATATCCAAGCCGGTGTTTCCAGATGACGATACTCAGTGTTCAAACACACGCCGCCTAACCTCAGAATTACTCACGAGATGATGCCATCCATCGAACACAAGCACTCCTGCGGAGGCAACGATGATCGAACACACAGAGTCGCTGCACATCCTCAGCTTACTCGGAGAGGCCAGGTTTCACATGCGTAGAGCAAGACAGTCCGCACCGAAGCATTACATACCCGGCCTTTGAAAGCCAAGCTAACGTTGCGATGGTGCCAATGGGGGCTCAAGTTGATGACGTTTGGAAATCTCATCCGTCACCCCTCCGCCAGCACTCACACAACTAGCCACCCAGATAAACAAACTTATCAACAACTTCAAGGGGTTTACCCGCAAGAGTGAGTGCAGGTACAGGCTCCTGCCAATCTTGTGGTAGTACTTTGCACGTAGACAGCGCAAAGTACATATCATACTCACAGATACTGAATGGTGTAATGTATTTGGACGACACATTTCCAAGAATACGATCACACACGTCCTTATCACAGAAATATATATGAAAATAATAAAGCCCTAAGCAGTGAGAGAATAAACATAGGCGGTCAAGTTAAAAGGCTATTTTGAGCACCAAGCAACAACTGCAGTCACTGAACCAAACAAAGAAGGGGAGATAGTAGTGTGGTGAGAGCAGGCTGCTAGCCAATTGGTAGACATTAATTTACGTCAATGTCTAGGTCACTAATATTGGCCGTGAGAAAATATGAACAAGGCTGATTCAACGACCAACCACAGCAGACTTAACATGGGCAAATAAGATTCGCAGATATATGGCTTAACTTTCCGAGAAACCAGAAACAACCAATCAGAAGACTGTGTTTGTCTGCTTGAATAAGCTATAATAATGTACATGAAATATGTATAAATACATGCTGATTTTCGTAATAAAATGATTTGTTGCTGACCCTTGTCTTCTGTTGTTACAGTAGTAGACCTACCTTGGTACCAAAATAAAGTTCCTATGAGTTGATCACGGATTGATATCAGTTAGAGAACCATTGAAAACCCAGAGAGTACTGGTTCTCTAGCAGATATCAATCCGTGATCAACTCGTTAAAAAAAACATAACTAACACTTACAAACCAAACTTTAGAAAAATAAATTTCACCAATGAATGTTCAATATGATGGCGAACAGATAAAGGTGGTTTAAACATCGTAATTACTAAGGCCTCTACACTAACTTTAGAATACACTTCAAACACATTTTATAGATAGGTTTAAAAGATATGTAAACATAAATCTTATATCCCGTCTCTATAATTTGTTTAAAAATAGAAGCGTTAGATCATCTGCTTTTAATGGCCTCAGGGGACTCGATTTGATTTTGGATCCTTTACGTGCAAGGACCGATCAGTCCTCTGTGTGTTTGTTTGTGCATTACCAAACGTACATCCTACTTAGTTATTCTGCATAGGCGATTATAGCAGCTTGTTAACGAGACAAAGATTGATCACTACGACACACAGACCTTTGATGC